TTGCCACTGCAAAAGTTTCAGACAATGTCTCCTTGCTCTCAAATACTGTCCCTTCTAGACATCTTGATTTGCTTCTTATTTTGCTTTGCATTTTTTCAGTGACCTCCATCAGTCTTCTTGCTAACCACTTCCCTTTGCTACATACAGAAGCCCTGTTACCCACATTCTAAAATAATTGGCTCATTAATCTGAATTGTACTCATTGAATTTATATTCTTCCTTGGACAGTTCATCTACTTGTAGCTTCAGATGGTGATTCCAGAAGCAAATACAGAAATATACATCCAAAGCAAGAAACATGAAGAAAGGGAAACACACAGAGACATACCTGGCAGACCCAAATGAAAATTTTACAGAAGCTCAAGGAGAAGTTAGATACATTCCATGATTAAGAAACAAGTCAAGGGCCGGGCACGGTGGCTCACGCCTGTAATCCCAGCACTTTGGGAGGCCGAGGCGGGTGGATCACGAGGTCAAGAGATCGAGACCATCCTGGTCAACATGGTGAAACCCCATCTCTACTAAAAATACTAAAAATTAGCTGGGCATGGTGGCGCATGCCTGTAATCCCAGCTACTCAGGAGGCTGAGGCAAGAGAAATGCCTGAACCCAGGAGGCGGAGGTTGCGGTGAGCCGAGATCGCGCCATTGTACTCCAGCCTGGGTAATGAGACCGAAACTCCGTCTCAAAAAAAAAAAAAGAAAAGAAAAGAAACAAGTCAAACTCAATGACTCCAAAACGAACTCTATCTAGAATTTTGTACAAAATCAGCATCAGAGGCTCCTCTGAACACAGAAAGCCTTGAAGCATGGTCCACATGGGGAAGCCTTTATTCCAAATGCAGACCTCGCTCAGCATCAAAAAAAGCACACTCTAAGCCATCATAAGCTGAATATGAAGAGTGTGGGAAGACCCTCGGATCAAACAATGGCCTTATTCATCAAATGGGAATCCAAAAGGAAGGAAAAATCAAAAATGTGATGGGTGTGGAAAATCAGTTAAAAATCAGTCTTTAGTCGACATTGGAGACTTTACACAGGTGAGAAACACTTGTTGAAAAGGCTTTACTCAGAATGCAAGAGTTTTTGATGATCTTAAAAAAACATTTGGAAGAGAAATGCTTTGGCTGGAATCAGTGTAGTAAAACCTTGATTCATCAGTCTACCTTGATTCAGCATCAGGCAGTTTATACAGCAGAGAATGCCTGTAAGTGCCATGACAGCGGGAAAGCTTCTTTATACAATGTATCCCTCTTCCGGCTTCAGAAGATCCACTAGAGGAAAAACTCTTTAAATGTATTCAGTGTTAGCTTTCAGTTAGACAGCAGGCCACACAGAGCAGCAGAGATCCACTATGGGGAGAAATCCTGCAAATAGGACTGGCATGGGCAACCCAGCATCTGCACTAAGAATGCTCACTCAAAAGAGAAAGAAGATACCCAATAAGAGAGTAAGAGTCACAACGAGAGCCTTCCTGGAAACGAGTTTCTCAAGGACAAGCTCTTTGAGCATAATGAAATTGAGACTAGTGACTGTAATTACTAAGTCTTGTGAAACATCAGAACATGCACTCAAGGGAGAAGTACCTCAAAGATACTGATTGTGGGAAGCACTTAAGCCCAGGACTTACCCAATATTAGAAAACTTATGCAGACCAATCCTACAAATATGAAGAATGTAGGAAGACCTTAAGTGCAAACGCTAGCTGTTTTAGACATTAAAGAAGCACACACGCACTGGAGAGAGGCCCCATAAATGCAATGAATGTTAAAAAGCCTCCTGCCAGTTGTTAGCTCTTCACCAGCACTAGTTTTTCCATGCTGGAGAGGAGCACTATTATTGCAATGAGTATGGCAAAGACTTCAGAACACAGGCCTCTTTTACTATCTCTGAGTACAAACTGGAGGAAAAGCCTTTCCAGTGTCAACTGTATAGTAAGTTTAGTAAACTATTTTTAAATTTGAGACTATCGTAAAACAGCGTAATAAGCAATACTGATTAAAAGTCAGCAAAGAGGCCGGGCACGGTGGCTCATGCCTATAATCCCAGCACTTTGGGAGGCCGAGACGGGTGGATCACGAGGTCAAGAGATCGAGACCATCCTGGTCAACATGGTGAAACCCCGTCTCTACTAAAAATACAAAAATTAGCTGGGCATGGTGGCGCATGCCTGTAGTCCCAGCTACCTGGGAGGCTGAGGCAGGAGAATTGCTTGAACCCAGGAGGCGGAGGTTGTGGTGAGCCAAGATCGTGCCATTGCACTCCAGCCTGGGTAACAAGAGCGAAACTCCGTCTCAAAAAAAAAAAAAAAAGTCAGCAAAGATTTTATGATTGCTTTTAAAGTGGGAAATCTGCCTTTACTGTAAATACCTTATTTATCACCCAGATTATCGTTATCACACAGATTATCGACCAAGAAATTCAATAAACTGGTGTCAGACATCAAAGCAAGTTATCTATAATGTATTATTGTAAATGCCATTTACTATGAACGTATTATAACTAGGTACTTCACACATGAAATGTTTTAGAGTGGAGGCAACTGAAGCTTAGTGGAGTGGTCATGTGTTCAAGGTTGCTGTGACATATTTCACAAATGCTGTCTTGACCTAATTTGAAAGTGATGGCTAACAACTCTTCAATTCCTCTTTGCAGGTAGTTTGCTAAGCCCCCATCCCAATCTCTTTACTTATTGGTCCTCCAGTCTCTGAAGCCACTGTGTACACACCACAACTGCCTCCCTTATCAGGGCCTCATTCTCTGAGGACAGGTACTAGACAACAACGGACAGCACCTGTGACCCAGAGGCTATGAAATTAACCAGTCCACAGGGAGCCCCTGAAATGGAGCTAACTCCTCCTGCCTGCCATATATGCACTGCCTCCTGCAGCTCCAGCTTGCCCTCACTCTCTCCCTGGGTCTGACTCTGTCTAGTTCCACATGGCGGCTTCTCTCTTTTGGAGCTGTAACAAAGTTCTGCTTTTCATCATCAGTATGTTGTGTCCCTTCATCAAAGAATCTTTAAATCTTATAAAACAGTCACTCGGTTATTAAGTGCCAGGCGTGAGGTTCAGTCCTATATCAAAATCTCTTAGATTCAGACCGTTTCTCTCAAATCCGTTCTCTGCTTCTGCGTCACCCTGACTCTTTCCTCATGACATCAAAATTAGCTCCTGCTGCAGCTCCCAACAGCGTTCCTTTTAGCGTTTGTGGAAGACACAGTTTACCACCTTCCCCAATTTTTCTCCTTTCCTTTATTTTATTTTATTTGTTTTGAGACAGAGTTTTGCTCTTGTTACCCAGGCTGGAGTGCAATGGCGCCATCTCGGCTCACCGCAACCTCCGCCTCCTGGGTTCAGGCAATTCTCCTGCTTCAGCCTCCTGAGTAGCTGGGATTACAGGCATGCACCACCATGCGCAGCTAATTTTTTGTATTTTTAGTAGAGACGGGGTTTCACCATGTTGACCAGATGGTCTTGATTTCTTGACCTTGTGACCCACCCACGTCGGCCTCCCAAAATGCTGGGATTACAGGCTTGAGCCACCGTGCCCGGCCCTCTCCTTTCCTTTATTTATACACATATTCTCAATGCTTTTATTCAATCCTAGATGAAACTCAACAGTCTTCAAAGTGGGAGGAGTTTTCTGTAGGGCCCCTAAGAAGTCATGCAAAAAATATCAGTTTTACCAAAAGATCAAAGTCTATTTTCTACACCTACACCTACACACACACACACACAAGCTTGTAGATGGCCCATGAGATCTTAGTGATCTGTGAATTTCAAGACCCTGAGGACCTGTAACTCAGATTACCATCCAGCTCTTCCAAAGAAACCATCTATGTTAAACAACAAAACTGCCTGGTGGATTCTTCTAGGATAGGTACATTTCACTATTTTGTTAATATGTTCATATCTTTCACCTTGGGCATTGTTCACCTTGGACATCTACACTTTGACAAGTACTCAAAATGTTAATTTTCCTTTTTAGGGCACAAAGTCTCATTCTGTCATCCAGGCTTCAGTGCAATGGTACAATCATGGCTCACTGCAAGCCTCAACTTCCTGGCCTCAAGTGATCCTACCACCTTGGCTTCCCAAAGTGCTGGGATTATAGGCATGCACCACTGCCCTTTAATTTTTCTTTTGCTGTTGTCTGTCTGTCTCTCTTTCTCTTTCTTTTTAAACATGAAAATTGCCAACATGCTACCGTCTTTTTCTAATCAAAGATAAGCTTATAATTTTTATAGACCACTATGCCCTGAAAGGTTTATAATATTTAAAAAATCAAATAGCAAACGAGGTTTTATGATAAAAAGCAACAGATCTACTTTATCATTTGACACACTCCCCAGTACTCTTGAGGGCTACCTTTTCTTTTCTTTTCTTTTTTTTTTTTTTTTTTTTGAGACGGAGTTTCGCTCTCGTTACCCAAGCTGGAGTACAATGGCGCGATCTCGGCTCACCGCAACCTCCACCTCCTGGGTTCAGGCAATTCTCCTGCCTCAGCCTCCTGAGTAGCTTGGATTACAGGCATGTGCCACCATGCCCAGCTACTTTTTTGTATTTTTAGTAGAGACGGGGTTTCACCATGTTGACCAGGATGGTCTCGATCTCTTGACCTTGTGAGCCACCCGCCTCGGCCTCCCAAAGTGCTGGGATTACAGGCTAGAGCCACCGCGCCCGGCCGAGGGCTACCTTTTCTATCCCTGCTTCTCATAATCGTCACCTCCATATCACTAAGCAATTTGGTTCTATTGCTTTCTTGTTGTTTTTTTGTTTGTTTACTCTAAACACTGCCTATTGAATATCTGCAATATTCAACTGGAATTTAAGCCACAATCTTCAATGTATGATTATGACACTATTCTCAGCTCCTAGTTTTGTCTCCCTGGGAGGGAGGGCAGCTTAAACTTTTACTCACTTTTACTTTTTTAACTCACTTTTTAAAACAAGGTTTTATTCAATTTGTACCCAGTTATATGGCTCAGTTTCTGCTTACCAGCATAGACCTATTGAAATAGTTTTCAGACTTTTTCTTAATCTGTTGCACATTTCTTAAAGACAGCTGAGAGATGACCTGCAAAAAACAAATGATATCAGTAGTTCATCAATTAGACACTATTTGTTTTTTTTTAAAAAAAAAACAGCTAGTTATGGACTCTCCGATTAGAGGTGTAAATAGGTAGCAAAACATTCTACTGTATCCATGTGAACCCTGAGAGTTCTTCCTTTATTATTTACCTGTGTTCTCACTATATGCTTTCTCTGAAGTACCCGTGTTCTCAACTACATACTTTCTGAAGCTCACAGAATTCACATCATAAAACTTTGTTTTGCTTTTGGCTTCCAATTTCAAATCTGTAAATAAAATACTTCCTGTAGTATTTTATTGGTCAAATCAATCATTAACCCACTCAGATTCAAGGGAAAGTAACATAGACCCCACCATCTTGATGGGAAATGTCAAAAAATTTGTTGCCATCTTTAATTTTCCACAATACCTTTATCCACCTCAGATTTAAAGTACAAAGGAAAAATAAGCCTTTACTGGAACCTTTTCTTAAATAATTTCTCAATTGTCTCCATCGCCTTTCAATCTCACTAAATAAACCTGACACAATTAAGAGCAATCAAGTTTATACATGCTTTCATGTTCACAAAGTAACAGAGTGAACCTCTGATATTACAGTTTTACCTTTTCTCTTATTCTTTGAATTCTAGATCTCAACATCTGCTTTTTTTCCCTTTTGATTTTAAGGGCAGTTAGAAGGCTTGCCAATATATCACAAGAAACTTTTTCCTTTTTAAATGTTAGTTATTTGGTTAGTAAAATGCCCAAAAAGTGTTAGTAATAACATTAGACAAAAATTGTTTAAAATAAAGGTATTCTGGAGATCCATTTTTGTCTGCTCTTTGTCTCTATATCCCTGTGTTTCTCCAGAGTCAAAAGATGGAGAATGGTTTTACTCAGAGTTCTCTGTCTTAAGATCTCTTTGTGCTTAGATGCTCTTTTCTTGTGGCTACACTGCATCTACGACAAAAAGTTGACTGTTTTAACTATGTCCCTGGGAACTATGCCGAGTCAATCACCCTTGGTGCAAGCTGACTTTTTAAGTGAGACTTTCAAAGCAGCTTCTTGCAGTAAGTCATGCCAAGTGGAACTTGGAAAACACTGAGTTGCAAAAATCTTTCTAGATGCCTAGAAAAGAACCCCAAAGTGAGCTTGAGGTTCATTTCCAGGTTGAATTCAAGTTGTTTTCCAATAATTTCTCTGTGTCTGTTGTTTTCTGAGATGTTGTATGGCTTCACATAAGATTTGAGCCCTGGCAAGGTATGAGGAGGGATCTCTCTCTCCCTACTTCCCAGATGCCCTGAAAGAAGAGTCTATAAAAGGGCACTCCAGAAACCTGTCCTAGGCTGTCTTTTAGCATCACACACTTCGTGAGATATCTTAATCATTTTAACAATTACTGAAAGGTAGAAGGCTCCAAAATATGGATCTCAAGCTAACCCTTTTCTCATGACTCCTAGACCCACAAATCCCTAAATCAATCCATTAGCAAATAGCAACATCTACAGAGTGATGCATTCCAGGATTTCAAGCTTAACATGGCCAAGCTGAGCTCATACATTTCTTCTCAAAATACTACCTGTCATTTAGTGTCCCCGGTCTTGGTGGAGGGACCAACATGCTCTGATGATGCCAGGCTTTTTTTGGTTCTCTTAACCCCCACATAATCAATGACGAAGCCCCGATCCATTTATTCTCCTGAGTATTTCTCAATTCCATTCCCTCATATTTAGCATTTTAAAAGTCAGGTCTCCCCCGATCCCATTTAATCTGGTGTGTATGTCACTTCATATTTTTGTCAAAGTATCTTTGAGATGAACTTCTAGAAGTGGAACAAAGGGTAAACTTACATGCATAATCTTTGCAGGAACAAAGGGTAAACTTACATACATAATTTTGCTGTGTAGTATTATTTTTCCCACCTACGGGTCATACCATTTTGCATTCCCACTGGAATATGTTAAGAGTTTCCCTTTCCTCATGAGTAGAGTGTACTACCAAACTTTTGGACCACTGCCAATCTAATGACTAATGGTACCTCACTCAGCATAGTTTTCAATTCATATGTTCATATTTTGAGTGAAGTTAAACATTTTTACAGATGTTTGAGGGCTACTAGCATTTTTATTCTGTCAACTATCTTCTGGCCATTTTCACTACATGTTGCAAACCTTTTTCTTTACTTACGGTATTTTTTTTGACAAGCAATACATTTTAATTTCATGTAGTCAGACTTGTTACTTGTATGGCTTTTGGATTCTGAGTCATATGGTTAGACATGTTTCCCCATTCCCAGTGTTAGAATTATTATTCATGTTTTCTTCTAATACATGTATAGGTGGATTTTTTACATTTAGATCTCAGATCCATTTAGAATTTCTCTCGATTGTGATGTGTGATGGGAAATACAATTCCAGTTTAGCTTTGCCAAATGGTTGTCATCCCAGTACAACTCCTAAATGGTTCATTTCCCCATTTATATGTGATGTCACCATCATCATGTACTGAATATCCTTATATACCTGCATCTATTTCTGGTATATTCTTTCTCTGTTAATAAACTAAAATAGGCGTGGTGGCTCAAGCCTGTAATCCCAGCACCTTGGGAGGCCCAGGTGGGTGGATCGCAAGGTCAAGAGATCGAGACCATCCTGGTCAATATGGTGAAACCCCGTCTCTACTAAAAATACAAAAAATTAGCTGGGCATGGTGGCGCGTGCCTGTAATCCCAGCTACTCAGGAGGCTGAGACAGGAGAATTGCCTGAACCCAGGAGGCGGAGGTTGCTGTGAGCCAAGATGGCGCCATTGCACTCCAGCCTGGGTAACAAGAGCGAAAATCCGTCTCAAAATAAATAAATAAATAAACTAAAATAATATGTGTATGTTCCAGTACCTGAAAAGACTGTCCCTAACCATTGTTCTTTTTCATGGGTTTCCTATCTATTTTTTTTTTTTTTTTTTTTTTTTTTGAGACAGAGTTTTGCTCGTTACCCAGGCTGGAGTGCAATGGCACGATCTCGGCTCACCGCAACCTCTGCCTCCTGAGTTCAGGCAATTCTCCTGCCTCAGCCTCCTGAGTAGCTGGGATTACAGGCACGCGCCACCATGCCCAGCTAATTTTTTATATTTTTAGTAGAGACAGGGTTTCACCATATTGACCAGGATGGTCTCGATTTCTTGACCTTGTGATCCACCCGCCTCGGCCTCCCAAAGTGCTGGGATTACAGGCTTGAGCCACCGCGCCCGGCTCCTGTCTATTCTTATGTCCCCACTTGACCTTTATAATCAGGTTATCTAATTCCAGAACAATATTGGTTGATATTTTCGTTGGAATAGTATCATTGCATACATATTTAGGAAGGGTGGATCTCTTTGAGTCTTTCCAAGAAGAGCATATTGCTTTCTATTTGTTTAATGCACACTTGGCCATTTAGGAGTGTTTTAAAGCTTCCCCCAGAGAAGTTTTCCTCATTTCTTGTTTATTCCTATTTTCACTTTTTTTGTTGCTATTGTAAAAAAGGTATTCTCTTCCATTATATCTTGTAACTCGTTATCATTGACTATTCACATATATGAAGGGCGTTGACTTTAGTGTGTTAATTTTATATCTTGCTTTTTCACTAAATTATTCTTTTTATATATTTTTCCATTGAACTGGGCTTTCTGATGTATTATCGTATCATAAGCGCATAAAAAAGAACATCAAGAGAATCGTGGATGGCAAAACAGCCAGCAGAAACCAGCAGGCTCGCCCTTGAGAAGGCTGTGTGGAAGGAGTCCCTTCGCCACCACTAAGCGTGGAGTCTGAAAGGACCTCCGAACCCAAAGTGAATGGAGACGCAAGGGATTTCCCAGTCTTCAGTTCTACAAGCCTCCACCACCCGTCGGGTCGGGGGAAGTGTGGACAATGGCTGGGTGAAGAAAAGTTGGAAGCTAAACCCGTACCTGTCACCTGCGGGCCTGAGAGCCCTGAGTATCACTCTCGCGTAGGCACCCGGAAACACTACTGAGTCGAAAGGCCCTCGCCCCCTTCCGGGAGCGGCAGCGGAAGGGCGCCTCCGCGGCCGCTTCCGGCCTTTGTGCATCGCTTTTGATGGGTTCCGGTTCCGGAAAGGGTGTGAGGACTCCGCCCTTCGCTCGCTAGGAGGGAGTGCCCTGCTGGCGCCGGCGGCCGCAGGTGAGCGACGTTGTCCTTCGTGCGCGGCGGGCAGGTGGGCGGGAGATTGCTGTATTCCAGCCGCTGGGCCCCTCAGGCTCTGGCTGGTGTAGAGGGCACCCCCGTCCTCCCAATCCCAGGCGGATCCGCGGGAAGCTCTCCCTCTCCAAAGTGCTTTGGGACCCTTCGGGGTGAGGGGTCGGCTCCCAGTGTCTGCGGGAATTCCCGGCTGTGAGGCTCATACATACCTTCCAGGTTTGCCTCGGGCTGTGTATTACTGGGTTCAGCGCTTGCCGGCATTTCTGGACAGCGGCGGGTCACCGACGCTGGCCGGCGTCCTAGGGACCCTTTCCGGGGCCTGCCACTCTTCAGATTATAATCACGGACCGTGAGGGTCGGGGGAAGCTTTAAAGAGTAACTTTTCAGCCTTCTCACGTTATAAATGAAGAAGGAGCAGAAAGATGGAGTCCCTGAGGAAATACGTTTGTGTCACTTTGTTGCTTTTAGGATTTCATGGTTTCCACCAGACATCTGGACATTTGAAAGATAAAACTAACCAATCAAGGATGTCTCAAGCTTTCATCGTTATATTTACTTATTCTAAATGTTAGTTTTATTCTATTTGTCTTTCATTTAGGACCAAATGAGAGTAAGTTTACTAACAAGTCTTACTCTTCCTTCTTAAAGTCCTGAAACAACTTGGCAGTTTTCCTCAGTCTTTCTCTTTAAATTGATCTAATCTTAAGTCTTTTCTATCAGAGTATTTTTCTGAGTATTGTACAGTAATCTGGAGGCCGGCTTTCCAAGTTCTCCAAACTTGCAGTTTTCCCTTATGCCGTAGCTTGTATTAATAATGGTGTCTTACTCTTCAGGACTGTCCAGAAAGGAATTTTCCAGGGAGATCTTACTTGAAACACCGATAGTTCTTGCACAGCTAAAATGACATCCACTTGGGCTATCCAGGCCCACATGGACCAGGATGAACCTTTGGAAGTAAAGACAGAGGAGGAGGAGGAGTATACCACCAGACAGGACTGGAACCTGCGTAAAAACAACACCCATAGCAGAGAGGTCTTCCGTCAGTACTTCAGACAGTTCTGCTACCAGGAGACATCTGGTCCCCGTGAGGCTTTGAGCCGACTCCGAGAGCTTTGCCATCAGTGGCTGAGGCCAGAGACCCACACCAAAGAACAGATCTTGGAGCTACTGGTGCTGGAGCAGTTCCTGACCATCCTACCTGAGGAGCTCCAGGCCTGGGTGCAGGAGCAGCATCCAGAGAGTGGGGAGGAGGTGGTGACTGTGCTGGAGGATTTAGAGAGAGAGCTGGATGAGCCAGGAGAGAGGGTGAGAAAGAAAAGATGTGACTTCTCTTTGAGAAAAGATAAATTGTGGATTTCTGTGCCAGAGTGAAGAAGAGACATTGTTTTCCATAAAGCATGTTCTTGACAGTTTGATGCACAAGAAAGGGGCATGAGTTTCATGGAAAATTGGCTAATGTGGTCCTAACTTATTTGTAACTTTTCTGTGGAAGGATTTTATATTTCTTTACTAAGTTACAAAATTCTGTTTGATAAACATACTGCTCATCTTAGAAAACTTTTAAGACCAGGTATCAGATGAAAGTAGCAGGATGGGAAGCAGCCTCTTGAAAGGGCATCACTCTACTGCACAATACAAATAATTAAGGTTTTGTAGATATATCCATTGCTCTGACTCCATTACAAGATGTTAAAATGGAGAAATTAAGTATTTCAGGTAAATGAGATGTGGGAGTACAATGGAAAGTTAGTGAGGAGAGCAGGATGGGGATCCATGCTTCTTTGAGTAGTAGAAAGCCCAGTTAGATTGCAAAGGTGAATTCTGAGTAGAAGAGTTGAAATAGTGTCCAGGACCTTGAATCTCAACCTTGGAATTGAGATTTTATTCTGTAGGACAGACCCCCGCTCCCAACCTTTTCTCCTTGAGTCGAAATGAGCTTTACTAATTGTAAGATGTAAAAGATAATCAAATTATGCAAAACTTTTTTGTTTTCTTTTTAACACTAAAATAAGACAGTGTTTCTCAACCAGTGCCAATTTTGTGCCCCAGAGGGCATCTGGCAATGTCTTGGGACATTTTTGGTTGTTACAACTCAGGAAGGTGCTGCTAGCATCTAGTGGGTAGAGAGGGCAAGGCTGTTGCTAAACATCTTACGACACAGACAAAGAATTATCTGAACCAGCATGTCAGTAGAGGCAACACTAGGAAACCCTGTTACAGAGTTTGAAACTTAATGAAATAATAAAACAGGAGTATAATCTAGCACTGTGATACAAAGTACAATAAAGAGGACAGGAATATGGCAAAAAGATCTTAGTTTGAAATAGGATCACGAGGCCGGGCGCGGTGGCTCATGCCTATAATCCTCACACTTTGGGAGGCCAAGGTGAGTGGATTACTTGAAATCACAAGTTGCAGACCACCCTAAAAATACAAAAATCAGCCAGGCATGGTGGCACATGCCTGTAATCCCAGCTACTTAGGAGGCTGAGGCAGGAGAATCACTTGAACCCAGGAGGCAGAGGTTGCAGTGAGCCAAGATTGTGCCACTGTACTCCAGCCTGGGCAACGAAGTGAGACTCTGTCTCAAAAAAAAAAAAAAAAAAAAGGAAAGAAAGAAAGAAATAGGATCATGAAAGTGTGATTACCAAGGATGAGGCATGTCTTAGGTAAGAATTGTTTGGAAGTGATGACAGATTAGATCTATTAAGTAAAGAAGGAAGAACCAATGGAGAAATCTTTACAGAATAATCTATTCTAAGCTAAACACTAGGGATTTGAAGCTTGAAAGACTAGTATAATGGCTGTTGGGGGGCCAGGGGAAAAACGGTTGGGTCGGGGAGGGATAACATGGGAAGAAATGCCAGGTATAGCTGATGGGGGGATGGAGGCAACAAAACCACCTTGCCATGTATGTCCCTATGCAACAATCCTGCATGACCAGCACATGTACCCCAGAATCTAAAGTACAACAGTAATAATAATAAATAAAATTTGAAAACACTAGTATAATGGAGACACTCCTAACAAAGTTAAAGACTGTAGGAAATTATTAAGTACATATTTACTGAATATCTGTTTGGACTAGGTCCTGTTTTGGGCACCATCAGTGCAACAGTGAACAAAGCACAGGAGGTTACAGCTGTCATGTAGATTCTACTCTACTGAGAAGAGACAGATAGTAAATTAAAAATCAACAAACCAGCCTGGGCAATATAGTGAGACCCATATCTCTATAAAAAATACAGAAATTAGCCAAGCACTGTGGCAGGTGTGTGTAGTCCTAGCTACTTGGGAGTCTAAAGTGGGAGGATTGCTTGAGCCCAGGAGACTGAGGCTGCAGTGAACTGTGATCATGCCACTGCACTCCAGCCTGGGTGACGCAGTGAGACCCTATCTCCAAAAAAAAAAACCATACAAGATATAAGTGACAGTCAATTCTATTCAAACAACAACGATAAAAGCAGAGAAAAGGAACGGTGAAAGAAATGGGGATTGTGCTGTTTTTTGTAGTCTTGTCAGAGAAGGCTTTTCAGATAGGTGACATTTACAGGAGAAATCTGAAAAGAGCAAGCCACACAACTATCAAGGATAACAGCGTTCAGGCAGAGGGTCAGTTGTTTTTGTTTGTTTGTTTTGAGATGAAGTCTTGCTCTGTCACCAGGCTGGAATGGTTCAGATGCTTCTCCTGCCTCACCCTCTCCAGTAGCTGGGACTACAGGTGCTCACCACCATGCCTAGCTAATTTTTTTGAGATGGGGTTTCACACCGTTGGTGAATAAAGATGGGGTTTCACCATATTGGCCAGGATGGTAAGATTTCTTGACCTCGCAATCCACCTGCTTCAGCCTCCCAAAGTGTTGTGATTATCGGTGTGAGCCACCACGCCCGGCCAATGCAGAGCATTTTAAAGTGAAAATGTACTTGTCACGGTAGAGATGTATTTGTCAAGGAAGAGATGAAATAAAATAGTTATAAGATTATGTTATGTCAGAACTTGCAGGCCATTGTAAGAATTTCGAATTCTGAGATGGAAAGTCATTGGAGAGTTTTTGAATAGAAGAAAGATATAATCTGACTTGAATTTTTAAATGATCCCTCTGGCTACTATGAGAAAGTTCCACAATGAGGCTGGGGTAGGCACAGGCATCAAAGGTAGAAGCACGAAACCGTTCCAGGAGCAATAATCATAAGCAATATTCCAGGCAAGAGATATTGGTGACTTGGTCTAGAATAGTAGCAGTGGAAGTGGTAAAATGTGATTGGATTCTGGATATATTTTGAAGGAAGAGCTTGAGAGGATTAGTTTTTATATAAAATGTGGGATATAAGAGAAAGTAAATAAAGGATTATGCCCATTTTGGTCTGAACATCAGATAGAGTGGATTTGTCATTCATGGAGATGGCAAGGACTGGGGGAGAAGTGGGTTTGGGGTGGAGGGACAGGAATCAAGTTAGGGTTTGGGCCAGGCGTGGTGGCTGATGCATGTAATTCCAGCACTTTGGGAGACCAGTGCAGATGGATCACCTGAGGTCAGGAGTTCAAGACCAGCCTGGCCAACATGGTGGAAGCCTGTCTCTACTAAAAATACAAAAAGTAGCTGGGTGTGGTGCCAGGTGCTTATAATCCCAGCTACTCAGGAGGCTGAGGCAGGAGAATCCGTTGAACCTAGAAGGCGGAGGTTGCTGTGAGCCAAGATCTCATCACTGCACTCCAGCCTGGGCAACAGAGTGAGACTCTGCCTCAGAAAAAAAGTTAGGGTTTGGACATGTGAATTTTAAGATTCCTATTAGAATTCAAGCAGAAAAGTTGAGCAAACAACTGGATTTAATGAACTGGAATTCAGTGGAAGGGTCTCTGCTAGAAATACAGAATTGGGACTTTTCCGAATATACGTAGTATTTAAATCCATGAGATAGGATGAGGTCATGAAAGAAGTAACGAGCAGCAGAAACAGAGTAGCTAGGGAGGTACAAGGAGAACCAGAAGAAAGAACGGGATTCTTAGGTGCTGGCAAAAGTAAGTTGGTTTTAAATGTGTTGAATTTGTATTGCCAATCAGCTCATTCTCTGAAAGCATTGCAAGGGGCATCTAATGGAGTTTACAGCAGGCGTCCCCAAACTACGGGCCCGCGGGCCACATGCGGCCCCCTGAGGCTATTTATCCGGCCCCCCGCCACACTTCAGGAAGGGGCACCTCTTTCACTGGTGGCCAGTGAGAGGAGCACAGTATGTGGCGGCCCTCCAACGGTCTGAGGGACAGTGAACTGGCCCCCTGTGTGAAAAGTTTGAGGACGCCTGGTTTACAGCTTGATTTCTGAGGCCTGACCACAGATCCAGGAATAGAAGGCACAGCTCACTGTACTGGCATTTTCCCCCCACTTTCTTTTTTCAAAATTGTGAGATATCAAAACATCATTTTCTGTACATCTGAGATAGCATTCTGCTGATTCTGGCTTTTATTCTGAAAACTGAGACTACAAAATGAAACTGTATCAGGGAAATAGAGGCAGTGTATATGGTGATTTTTTATTTATGAAGTTTAACCTTTGAAGAGAATGAGGAAGTAATTTGAGAGCCTGTTGTAGAGCCTATAAAGCAAGGTGCTTTATACAAATGACATTTACAATCTCAGAGACGGTAAGTAACTAGCCCAAGGTTACAGAGCCACTAAACTAAGAGAGAGAGTAAGTAATCCATGTGATTCCAAATCCCTGCTTTTTACAAGACCATGCTGGGGAAACCTGCTATTTTTAAATGCAAGAGGAAATAGGCCCATGGAAGAATGGGAGCCACCCAGTGGCTGAAATTGCTGAATAAATTAGTTAGTTCACTGAGGGAGCAAGGGTCAGAGGGAAGCCGAAAGTGATGGGATTGAAGGCAAAGTGGAGATGTGAGTAAGCCTTGAAAAAGAGAAGACATTGTCCTCTAAAACAGAAGCAATGGAGAAGAGTATGAGGGTGCAGACAGGTAAAATGAAGAGTAGATGATTTTTGAGATGACTGTGATCTTGGATACATAGAATTTAAGATAATCTTCCCGGAGAGAAGTGAAACGGGTACCTCAGAAGGGCAGAGACTATTGGGAACAGCTTCTGGAATGAATATGGAAGAGAGTTCGCTCGTTTCCTTCTTTTCCCTGTCTTTCTTCTCCCACCCTCTTTTCTTTCTCCTTCTCATTTATTCCCTTGTACTTTTTTTTTTTTTTTTTTTTTTTTTTTCTGAAATAAGGTCTCTTTGTCACCCAGGCTGGAATGCAGTGCTGTAATCATAGTTCACTGTGATGTTGAACTCCTGGACTCAAGCAATCCTCCTGCCTAGTCTCCTGAGTTGTTAGGACTACAGGTGTGTGACACCAGGCTCAGATAATTTTTCATTTTGTCAGGGGAGATGCCTAGGCTGGTCTCAAACTCCTAGCCTCAAGCAATCCTCCCACCATGGTGTCCCAAAGCTGCCTTTCTTTTTTATCATTGGTCTACATTATTTGCCTTTACATATCCCCTTTCCTTTTCCTCTTTCTCTCTTAATGTTTTATTTTTCCCTAAGTTCTATCTTTCCTTTCTGCATTTCACCTTCTTTTTCTTCTCTCCTTTGTTTTGTCTTACTCACTTTCCTTTCTCCACTTCTTTGAGCACAAGACAAAGAAATAACAGTGACACAACCAACATACTTTAGTGGTAACAACAGGAGAAATTACTTCTGGGTGGAGAAAAGAAGGTTCCCCAGAGGAGGTGACATTTCTATTGGCCTTGAAGAATGGGTAGGGTTATGGCAGGCTTATACTGAGAAAAAAGGTCATTTCAGCTTTCAGCCACTGCCACAAATAGTATACTTTTTGTTTTCCGTTGTCAGAGTGAGTCTGTCAGCTATATATCATTTCCCTCAGGTCTTACCTCACACTGAGGAACAGGATATGTTCTTGCAGGAGATGGTATCTCTAGGAAAAGAAGGAGAACCCAGTATGTCCCTCCAGTCCATGAAAGCCCAGCTAAAGTACAAATCTGCAGAACTTGAATTCCAACAGAAGCAAGGTAAAGAAGAAAGACCCATCTTGGGAGGAAGGGGAAGATGGGTAGCACAAGACATTGGGGCTTTGTTGTACTTGCTACTGTTTCTGGTCATTAAAGTCAAAAAGACTCTCTTGGAGGCTGGGCGCGGTGGCTTATGCCTGTAATCCCAGCACTTTGGGAGGCAGAGGTGGGTGAATCACGAGGTCAAGAGATCGAGACCATCCTGGTCAACACAGTGAAACCCCGTCTCTACTAAAAATACAAAACGTTAGCTGGGTTTGGTGGTGCGTGCCTGTAATCCCAGCTACTCAGGAGGCTGAGGCAGGTGGAGGTTGCAGTGAGCCGAGATCACGCCATTGCACTCCAGCCTGGGTAACAAGAGCGAAACTCTGTCTCAAAAAAAAAAGCCTCACTTGGAATCTAATGGCTCATACATAGACTCCCAGACAGCCTCATTTGTCACTCTTCAACTCTTTCTTTTTTTATATTCATATTCTTCTGAATTCTGACTTTACCACTTAATTTAGTCCTTCTGATATTTATCTGTCTTTATGCCGACCTCCTATTTTCAGCCTCTGTCCTATCAGACAATACCTCTATTTTCCACTTGCACTGTATCCTTTCTCCTTCGTTAGATAAGCCTTTGCTCCACTACATTCGCAACTGTCAGATGATTTACACGCACAAAATTGTATACTTAAAAAGAAAAGGAATAATAAAATAAATGTTGCAAAATATTAAAAGTAGGTGAATGTGTGAAAGACCCGCTGTCTTATTTCTATTTTCTCAATATTTTTTTCATTTTAATTTTTTAAATAGATAAAAATGTACATGGCTCAAAAACAAAACATTTTTAAGTTATTTAATGAAAAATTTCTATTCTACCCAATTTTCCTAGCCACCTAGCCTCCTGCCCCTACTCTGAAATAGGTTGTCACTGTTACTAATTTTTTGTGTGTTCCTCCAGATATTTTTTTGATGCATATGTTTTCCATATTGAAAAAAATATATTTTCCTTTATCACTAAGATGGTAGACTCTTGCATTTTTTATTTTTTAGCAGCTGCTTAATATTAAAATGTATAGATACATTGTAAAGATATAAAGGTAACATTTATGATCCCTTCTTAGTTTTAGATATTGAGACTGGAAATGAGTGTGGGAATTTAAAGCAAGAAGTTTCTGAAGAAATGGAACCGCATGAGAATACATCCAGTAAATTTGAAAATGCTATGTCCCAGTCTGTTAGGTGTGGAGAAACTTATGAACCTGAAGAAATAACAGAAGAGCCCTCTGCACACTCCAGAGAAGATAAACAACCTACCTATGATGAAAGTGGAGTAAGCCTGACTGATGAACATCAGAGAATCTTTCCAGGAGAAAAATCTTATGGATGTGATGACTGTGGAAAAGCTTTCAGTCAGCACTCACACCTCATAGAACATCAGAGGATCCATACTGGAGACAGACCCTACAAATGCGAAGAATGTGGAAAAGCTTTCCGTGGGAGAACGGTGCTTCTTCGACACAAAATAATACACACTGGAGAGAAACCATATAAGTGTAATGAGTGTGGCAAAGTCTTTGGCCGATGGTCAGCTCTTAACCAACATCAGAGACTTCACACAGGAGAAAAACACTATCACTGTAATGAATGTGGCAAAGCCTTTAGTCAGAAAGCAGGCCTCTTTCACCATATCAAGATCCATACAAGAGACAAACCTTATCAGTGTTCTCAGTGTAATAAAAGTTTTAGTCGGCGTTCCATACTTACTCAGCATCAAGGAGTTCATACCGGCGCGAAGCCCTATGAGTGCACAGAGTGTGGAAAAGCCTTTGTTTATAACTCATCCCTTGTTTCCCATCAGGAAATCCACCACAAAGAAAAATGCTATCAGTGTAAGAAATGTGGGAAATCCTTCAGTCAGAGTGGCCTTATTCAGCACCAGAGAATTCACACTGGGGAAAAAGCCTACAAATGTGAGGTATGTGAAAAAGCCTTTATTCAAAGGACAAGTCTTACAGAACATCAGCGAATTCACACTGGAGAAAGACCCTATAAATGTGATAAGTGTGGGAAAGCGTTTACTCAAAGATCGGTCCTCACAGAACATCAGAGAATCCACACTGGAGAAAGACCCTACAAGTGTGATGAGTGTGGGAACGCCTTCCGAGGAATCACCAGCCTCATTCAGCATCAGAGAATCCACACTGGAGAGAAGCCCTACCAATGTGATGAGTGTGGAAAAGCCTTCAGACAGAGGTCAGATCTTAGTAAACACCAGAGAATCCATAATAGAGGTGGTCTTTATATATGTAAAGACTGTGGGAAATCATTCAGGCAGAACTCGGCTCTTACTCAACATCAGACTATCCACAAAGGAGAAAAATCTGTTTCTGTGCGATGACTACAGGGAAGTAATCTCACAGAGTTTAGGCCGGTGAGAAACACTATTTAGCTTTATAATTATTTGGGGCAAAACTTCAGCCACCATTGCTATAAGGAAACCTCAGATATTTATTTATTTATTTATTTATTTTAATTTTTTTTTTTTTTTGAGACGGAGTTTCAACCTTGTTACCCAGGCTGGAGTGCAATGGCGCGATCTCGGCTCACCACAACCTCCGCCTCCTGGGTTCAGGCAATTCTCCTGCCTCAACCTCCTGAGTAGCTGGGATTATAGGCACGCGCCACCATGCCCAGCTAATGTTTTATATTTTTAATAGAGACGGGGTTTCACCATGTTGACCAGGATGGTCTCGATCTCTTGACCTCGTGATCCGCCCGCCTCGGTCTCCCAAAGTGCTGAGATTACAGGCTTGAGCCACCGCGCCCGGCCAACCTCAGATATTTTTAAGAATTCACTGTGTGCTGCCCATTGTATTAGGTGCTGTGGAGAGCAAGAAGATAACCCCAAACTCTTAAAGAGTTTATAGTTTGGAATAGGTAAGATCCACACATTTAGTTACATAAGACTACAGGATACTAGAATTGACGCTCAATGTCCAATGAAAGTGGCACTGTGTAGACTTTAAGTGTTGTAAAGTCTAAAGGACAGGTTACTTTTTCTTAGAGTGGTCAGGAAAGATTTTATTGAAAATAAGGATTTGATGGGCAGACTTAGCAGCCAAAAGGGAGAAAACAGGTAAAACAAATGTAAGCCAAGGTAAGAGTGCATGTGATTTGGAAGCATCAGGGAAAAGAGTAGCCAACCTGAAGTAAAAGGTTCGTGCAGATTGGGCAATCAATAGCATTAAGCTGGGAACAGCCTGGGGACAGACTATAAGAGGGCCAGAATGTGAATAATTTCATCCAATACTTAATAGCACTTTGACATTTACAGAGCACTTTTCTCATTTAATTCCTAAAATACCTCAGTAAAGCAAAAGCGTTCTCCATTTAAAAAAATGAGAATACTCTTGCCTGTGGAGATGGTGACACAACTATGATCCCACAAAAAGAAAAAGAGGAGTGACCTAAGTGCAGGTCTCTCGACTTCTGGTCCTGACCATTACACTAGTGATCCTCCAGCTTGGATGAGCATCAAAATCACCTGTGGAGCTTGTGTAACAGGCCTGAATCCCACTATTCTGCTTCATCAGGCCTAGGATGAGAGTCGAGAATCTTCATTTTTATAGCTTCCATTTTAAAGTATACTTAATATACTTTAAAAATTTAAGAAACGTTGAGTTGAATGACAGCTTACTTCATGGTTGTCTGTGAAGTGGGGAAGCTTGAACACAGTCCTGTAAACTAAAGGCCATTGCAAATTTTTAGCACAAGGAAATCCTTACACAGAACATGTACCACCTGCTCTTTGGAGTGAACAGAGAATTAGACCACCATCGTGCCAAAAAACTAGGGTCAGGGTTTAAGGTGGTCTTTCCATCCCTTCAAATTTAAGTATTCAGAGACAGGCCTACCTTCCAAGGGTCTTCTGATTGCAAGGCCTGTGTTGTTTATTTAGGAGATGGCTTGGTGCTCTTCTCTGTTTTACTTTTTACCTCCTCTTGTTTCCCAGATCTCATATTGCCATTATGTTCTGAATTCCTTAATAATTGCTCTTGAGGACTGAATCACTCTGAGTGCATAAAAGGGCCCCAAATTAGAGATACTATCCCTTAGGCTTCTGAAAAATGAACCAACTGAAAACTGGTTGACTCTAACCTTGTATTGTTGAGTAAAAATTCTGCTTTGGATGAGAACCTGTCATGATTCTTTTAATGGACAATAGGCAAGCCACATAGAAGTACATATGGCTCCTGATCTGTATTTTTTTTTTTTTTTTTTTTTTTTTTTTTTTTTGAGACAGAGTTCCACTCTTGTTGGCCAGGCTGGAATGCAATGGTGTGATCTCGGTTCACTGCAGCCTCCATCTCACGGGTTCAAGCAATTCTCCTGCCTCAGCCTCCCAAGTAGCAGGGATTACAGGCATGTGCCACCACACCTGGCTAATTTTGTATTTTTAGTAGACATGGGGTTTCTCCATGTTGGTCAGGCTGGTCTTGAACTCCTGACATCAGGTGATCCGCCCACCTCAGCCTCCCAAAGTGCTGGGATTCCAGACATGAGCCACCGCGCCCAGCCCTCATCTGTCTTTTTATTTACAGCAATCATTCTTAATCTCTACGGAGATGGCCTGTTATTTCCTTCCTTTTCTATCCTGCCACAGCAAACTCTGCAATTTTCTGGGACTAACTTCCTACTACACCCAACGTAACTCCAGTCCTCTCTTCACACTAGCTGCTCAATGGCTTTGAAGTGGTGAGACGTTGACAAAAGGGGACGGGAAGAAATAAAAGAAGGGTAATCTGCGTTCTTCTTAGTTAAGGTCCACTCCTAATTACCTTTCTATGCAGCCCTTTATCTTTGTCCCATCTTCTCTTCAGTCCTGTCATGTACTCCAACCCCATTTTCCTAGTGCCCCTGCCTCTTGCCTCTCTCTCCATAAACCCTGTGTCCGGCCTGCCTGCACCACTTGTTTGCTGAGGCCCCAGGAATTAAGCCAATTGAGCCAGATAGAGCCGAATGGACAGGATGTTCAGGCTTTATTGGAAAATCCCCAGGCGGACTGACTGGACCCGTACAGCAGGGGAGGGTCAGCAGTCTCGCGCCGGTTTTCTTTGTTCCGTGATTTTTATAGAGGTGGAGGAACCGGGAAGTGGAGGAGCTGATGCGGCAGATGGTGATTGGTCAGTTTGACCATCAGGCGGGAAGTCAGCGAAGGGCTGATGAGGCGGTCGGTGACTGGTCTGATCGGTTGCTGGGCAGAAGGTTGCTGAGTCGCCCAGGGCTGTTTGTGCTTGGGGCTTGTTGCTGGACAGACCAAATTCCAGAGGCGGCCTGCCGGATGTGGGCTCTGGATATGGGGGAAGGGCTACTTCTACCTAACACCCTGTACAGAATTTTTGTCCCTGGATTAGAACTAGAAGAGTCTCTGGTCCTAGGAATATGTATGTTTCTAGCTAAGTTGTAAATATGAACACATATTCCCATAGAAATCATAATGGTATAAGTATTACAATTCAGGCAAATTAGGTGCCAAATTGGCTTCTGGGATTGGAACTTACTTACATGACTTTCTGTATGGGAAAACCTTGAGTTTATGACAGACAGAGGCAAATAAACAGTTGGAAAACAACTTACTCGTAAGTTGAAGAGTGCGTGGTTAGGCTTTTTTCATAACCCCAGCATTGGAGTTGCATGCATAAGGCATTGAGGCAACTGGGATTGGAAATCTAGTTGTTTTCCTCCAGGAAACAAGGAACCCAGTGTGAGCCTGGAAGCTCTGTAGCTCTAAGTATGTGAGACTTATGCTCTAACTAAGTTTACACTGCCTCCCATTTCGCACATAATTAGAATGCAAACTTGTAATCAAACCAAGGTTCAGCTGCTACATTCCAAAGCCAAGACTCAGGAGAGAAGAGAATTGGTGAAAGGAAAAGCAGATTTATTCGGAGAGCCAGCAACCTGAGACAATGGTAGACTAGTGTCCTACAGTACCATCTTAAGTCAGTACAAAGTTTAGGCTTTTTTAATGTTAAGGGCAAAGGGAAAAGGAGTAAGTTGCGATGAAGAGGTAACGTATGACCACAAACATCTTGGCGCCAGCAAGAGTCCAAGGGGGTTGGGAACTTCTTTGTTACTGGTTGGGTCATAATGCTCCTATAAATCTTTAACTATGTAGTTGTTTACATACTTTTTAAATCCCAGAGATGGTTTTTAAAACTACATGATTGCTGTTTCTGCATATTGTCTCAGTGCTCTAAAATTATCCTGGCCTACATGGAGGAATGGGTAAAGGCTCCTTAAACAAAAATGGAGTTAGTTATGTTAGTTCTTTTGCTTTTTCACTGTTAGAAACTCTTCTCAGTGGAGGGGACTTTGCTTAGTGATAAGAACCTGTATGAGAACGTTCTCCTTACCGGACATGCTATACATACTCCTTATCTGGTTTTATAGACTTGTTATCCAAACTGAAGTTACTGTTCATAGTAACTTCAGAGCCTCTCTTTTAATCTGACTGCTCGCTGGAATGCAATCCTTGTTTTAAAGTTGCGTTCTGCTCCTCTCAGTGCCTTTACTTGGGGTCTTTCCAGTTCATTTTCTGCTTAATATGTTCTGTCAATGCGCACATTCCTCCATTTGCCTTTCTTCACACTATTAATCTTTTTTACATACCTAATATTATAAAGGGACCATAAAGAAAGACTTAATGGGATATGCCTGTTATATAGGAGGGTACAGTTTATACTTGTTTAAAAATAAATGTGAAGGCTGGGCACAGTGGCTCATGCCTGTAATCCCAGCACTTTGGGAGGCCAAGGCGGGTGGATCACAAGATCAAGAGATCGAGACCATCCTGGCCAACATGGTGAAACCCCAACTCTACTAAAAGTACTTAAAGTAGCTGGACATGGTGGCACGCACCTGTAGTCCCAGCTACTCAGGAGGCTGAGGCAGGAGAATTGCTGAACCCAGGAGGCGGAGGTTGCAGTGAGCCGAGATTGTGCCACTGCACTCCAGCCTGGCGACAGAGCAAGACTCCGTCTCAAAATAAAAATAAAATTTAGGAGTTTTATTCTGGTTATTTCTTATGCCTAAATACAGTTGCAGTACCAAAAAAGGTGGAGTGACATGGAATTTCCAGGCAGGCATCAAAGGGGATTAAACTAGCTGTTTAGGATAAAGAGAAAATATAGTAGAATAAGGCTACTAATTGGAGCTAAATTGGCAATATAGGGAAATTGAAGGCCCTGAGGGGCAAATGGACGACGTCACATGTTAGATTAGGAGCGCTACGCCGGGGAGTGCGGGAAACAGAGTGCCTTGTGATGAAGCCAAGAGTACATTTCATGGATAAAATACAGATGTGGTGTGACAGTCACAAGATGCTAGAAACCAGAAACCTCTAAAGCATCTTATGTATGTGGATTTTGAAATAAATAACAATAATAGGGGGCAGGATGGAAAGGAAGACTATGAAAGTGAAGCAGGTCTAAGGTAGAAGTGATGGTCATCAATTGTAGTAACAATAGCCACATAGAAGTACCTGGTATAAAACTCAAAGGAATCATAAAGCTTGCAAATAATATTAAGGATAAGATTGACTGGCTCTAATTGGTTTTTCTAATTGGTTCAAGGTAAACAACACATGAAATGTTTAAGGCAAAAAGCATGGAGAGGTTGGGGAGAAGCCAAGTTTCTAAAGTAATGAGAAGCGAAGTGAGTTTTTATTCACAGACCCGGGCTGTGAATAAAAATGTAACCTGAACAATCAAATGGATTCCACAGAGTGCAATGGGAAGGGATTGCAGAAGAAAAAAGAATGTGGCCTTCCTTCCAAAAATAAATTGTATTAAGAGGTTGCCAGAGTTTGAGGAATGAGATGAAGCTGATGAGGAAGGACAACGCAATTGAGCAGGGCTCTGAATTGAGACATCTCAACTGCAAAATGAGGTTGGTTGTAGAGACCTCTAAGATACAAGAACTTAGACAAGTCTGCACGCCGTACTCGTACAGAAGTAGACTCTTTTCTTAATATATGGTAGGTTATTGATTGTAGACTTGTTATAATCAAAGCTGTTCTTATTGGCCATCTTTTGGAATTGAGGAAAGGTTTATTAATGATAATACTTCACACTTATTAACTGCTTACTAAGGGCCAGGCATTACTAAATGCTTTACTTACATCATCTCATTTTCAACTGGGGAAACTGAAACACCTAAGTTAAACCTGCTCAAGGTCACAAAGGTACTATGTAGTGGGGCCAAGATTTGAACCCAAGCAGCCCAGTTCCAGAGTCCATACTTTTAACCTCTGAATACACTTCCTCTGTTTATTTCAGTTGAACAAACCATGTGTTGCAGTGGTAATTCAATGTCTTGAGTCATTATCTATAAAAACTTTTTATCTCCAGTCACTGTTCTGAAAAATGATTCAGAAAGTCCTGCAGTCCAGACACCTCAGGTAACAATATTACCACCCTCTCTGCATTCCACATCTTGGATGAGGTGTGGCGGGCATCAACAGCTCTGCTTCTCGTTGCCTGCACAGCGCGGGTGTCACAGGAGACATTCCACTTTAAAAATGGGCTCCTTATATGAAAATATCACCCTTCCTAGTTTAGAATCATAAATCACTCTGCATTATTTTCACAGAATAAGGAATATTTGGCTGTCTAATTTAATACAGAAAGATTTAAAGGTATGTCCCCATGAGTTAATAACTCATTACGGATCTATCTTTAATGAGGGTTTTTAGAAGTGATTTTATATTAGGAAATACTTCTTCGACTTAAGAATGCACACACATCTTTTTCTTTGCTTAAGATTTACCAGTTTTACAATTCAAATGGTGTCCCTTCTAATTCCACAAGGCCAGAATTTGTGCAAGTGCTTGTTCAACCTAGACATAAGAATTTGATAGCCTTTAATTGAATCTCTTCCCAAATTTTATCCTTTAAACCGAAAAGTTCTTATACCACAGCCACTCCAGCAGCTCATGTTACTGGAATTTCTGTGGATCCTCTCCCTCTCAAATGTTCTGCGCGTGTTTGGTAAGGAGTCCTCACACGTTATTTTTTTTCACATGTATAGTATTTCTACATATATGTATATATATATATTCATATGTAAAAAGTATATATGAATATTTTTATGTGTTGTAATGTTTATTTTATATATATATATGGTCTGAGGTATATAATTTGATGTTGACAAAGCCAACCATGATAAGTGTTTTAAACTTTTCAGTTGACTAGCCCCCAACTCACATTGTAAGACCATCATTTAGGCCGGGCGCGGTGGCTCAAGCCTGTAATTCCAGCACTTTGGGAGGCCGAGACGGGTGGATCACGAGGTCAAGAGATCGAGACCATCTTGGTCAACATGGTGAAACCCCGTCTCTACTAAAAATACTAAAAATTAGCTGGGCATGGTGGCGTGTGCCTGTAATCCCAGCTACTCGGGAGGCTGAGGCAGGAGAATTGCCTGAACCCAGGAGGCGGAGGTTGCGGTGAGCCGAGATGGTGCCATTGCACTCCAGCCTGGGCAACAAGAGTGAAACTCCGTCTCAAAAAAAAAAAAAAAAAAAAAAAAAAAAAAAAAAAGACCATCATTTAGAGCCAGCAGTTTTCCCTTGATTACATGGACAGTTGATTCTCTTCACACATGTTAAAAACACCATTTAGGTATCTGAAACCCATCAGTCAAGGCTCTCAGAGCTTTCACCCATCAAGTGCAAGCTGATCTGTAAGGTATATGTCTGTTTGCTCCTGCCAGTCATCTTCTTAAACCCAGTTGGCCTGCTCCTGGAAGTCCCAAGAAGGGCTTCAGAGTGGAAGTTACTTGTAATCTCTGATTTATGGTTACATCATCATTACTCCTCTTCAAGCTTGGTGTGCGTATCTTAGTGTTTTGATCTAGTGCCTTAGTTCTGCCTACTTCAGTAATGAATTTAGGAGTAGATCTCTCCCCATTTCATCCCTGATAAAGATTGAGGCAGTTTAGGGACTTGACAGCTTCCTGTGGCCAAATTCCCTACTTATTCCTGAGACAGGGTTTAAGAACCTGGATTCTAGAGATAGATTGTCATGATTCGAATCTCAGCTTACTAGCTCAATGACTTTGGGCAAGCGATTTAATCTCTCTTACGTTAAATGTAAAACGGTAATGATAATAGTACCTATCCAATTGGGCAGTTACGTACATTAAATGAGTTTACAAAGTGCTTAGAATACTGCTTGGCACATTAGTGCTTTACAGCTGCTCTTGTTCTGATTGTTGCTGTGGGCTCTCTCAAAAGCTTTGGCTCTAGATGCCAGTGCCCCAGGTCAAATTTTAACCTTGCTGCAAGTTTCCCAGAACTACTGCACAGGCCTCCTGGCCCTGGGATAAAAGCTCCCACCCAGGTGTACTTTTGCTTTCCTGCCTGGGGAACTGATCAACAGTGGCCGGCAGGGGACACTTACCGCTCAAGTTGGAAAAGGAGAGATTTCTGCCCTTTTGTCTCCGCCCGTTAGTTATCGGAGGTAACTAGCAGCCCATGGTATCCGCAGTTTTACTTCGGAGCTGCTCTTCCGACGTTCCGCAGCGGGAAGGCTGGCGTCGCGCGGGTCTGACGCGCCCCGGCCTGGGTCCCTGGGTCCCTGGGGTAACCTGACTGCTCAGCTGGAACGCGGTGCTCAGCTGGGCGGGGTACGGCCGGGCAACCACAGAGAGGAGAAAGCCTCCAGAATCCTAGAGAGGCCGAATGCTGAGACCGCCGTTGGCGGCGGCGGGACCTGAAAGTACCGGCGTTTCCGGCCTTTGCGATGAACCTTTGGAGGCGGGGGCCTCAGGTTCGTGCCCTCCAGCCCTTCATTGTCTCTGGTGAGGTCGGGCTTGATAAACGTTGAGAGGAGCTGGGGAAGTTAAAGATGACTTTCAGGTTTTGAGGTATCAGGAAGACTGGCTGTTGAGGAAAAGGGAGTCTGGGTTCCCAATTTTGGTAAAAGGAAAGTTGGGTTCATTTGGGGAAATTGTATGATTCATGATTTTCCCGAGATCGACGCTGAGTACAAGACAGAATGCATCTAGCTGTTGCGTGACTTTGAGCAAATTACTTAATCTCTCTGTGCCTCAGTTTTATTCCAAAGTCAGTGAGATTATAGCTACTTAAATGGCTGCATGCATAGTGAATTTTAAATATTAGCTATTGTTATTTTTCATTTCTGATGTTCTTATCTCTGCCGTTTATATGGGATATTTTGAAGTAGGGGAGCCAAGGGAAGAGGGTCATGATCTTTGAAGTTTTATTAATATAAACTTTCGGAGAGTCAAAGGCTAGCAGATGCGGCTGGCTAATAATTGGCAGTCACTCTTGCTTTCTTAATTCAGCTTACTGACACAGAGTTCCATTTTCTTTCAGTGCCATGTTCGGATAAAAGTGAGTTCTAGGCTAAAGAGATAAAATTTAGCTTCTGTTAACATTGTTATTTTATGCCTCAGGAAGAAGACCACCTACAAGGAAATACTTATGAAAAATCACTGTGAACCCCAAGCTGGAGTGAATCTTCTCCTGAGCTCTCTCATTCCAGAATGGCAATCGTGTTGTAGGAAAGATCTCTAATAGTGACTGCTGGTAAAGGAAGAAGGCTGTGCCTGGGACAAAGAATCAGGCTGGCAAAGAAATCACAGATCTTTTCTCAAACTTTACATTGTTATTATGTGGATATATAGCTACCTGGACTTCACAGAGCTGTCAGAAAACTTGGGAAGCTTTGCCAGTAGTTCCTGAGGCCAGAAATACATGTCAAGAAGTAGGTGCTGGAACAGGTCCTGGCCCCTACTTGTGAAGCTGCAGTTATAGGTAGGATAATATCATCCAGAATGTGGAGCGCAGGCAATCCGTGATGCTGGAAAAGTAGAAGAGACAGCTTGAATGAAGGACAAACCACAGGTGGGAAACATTGGCAGGATCCCTTATGGCTTGACTAGCAAAAGGTTTTGGGAGTAGGATGGAAAGCAGCAAACCTCAACTTTAGGATCCACCAGATGTCTCTGGAGCCATAACCCAACATTTCCCTATTGGGTGTTACTTCTCTTGCCATTTATGTGCATCTCTGGGACCTTCTCTTTCTATACTGGGTTTTTTGTTTGTTGGGTGTTTGCACTTAGGGTTTAGCTTCAAATTCCATTTCCCAAGACCAATTTTATCCCATTGCCTTTAGGTATCAGGCTAAAGGACAGAACAAGATATGCTTATGACAAAGATAGTACCTTGGAATCAAAGGTTTCAGATCAAACCTAAGATTCTTAGTTTACCTCTCGTTGCCTTTTGATGTGAAAGGTAATGAGAGAACATCTCTGGAGAGAAAGAGGAGGAAAGCCTCACAAGGGCATCTTTTAGAACTTTTAGTAGTGTCCTCGCCCCAAAAACCTTGCGTCTACCAATCTCCTTCTCATTACCTACCTGATTCTTGAAGTAGAAAATCACAGCCATATTTGTAGGGGATTGCGGTTTTGGTTTTTTTGACCTGTTTAACTCCTTTAGCTTCAAAGTGTTGCTTTCTTATGTTTTAGACATGAATATTACCTAGAAAAGTTGCTTTCCCACTGTAAATTTTCTGGTTTATTGGTTGCCCCACATCAGATTAGTATATATTTTCAAACTGGTTTAGCTATTGTTTCAAGTTAACTTTGATCATATCTGGTTGTTTACTGATCCACTCAACAAATATTTATTGAACATTTTGTAGGTCAATAGTAGCCAAGATACGTATCAGTAAGTAGAAATAGTCCTTTTAGGCCAGGCGTGGTGGCTTACGCCTGTAATCCCAGCACTATGGGAGGCCGAGGCGGGTGGATCACGAGGTCAAGAAATAGAGACCATCCTGGTCAACATGGTGAAACCCCGTCTCTACTGCTAAAAAATACAAAAAATTAGCTAGGCATGGTGGCGCTTCTCTTAACTTTTTTGATTATACTTTCCTGATTTCTTTTGTTGTCACATTTTGTGAAAAGTTTTCATACACCTACAGTCTCTTTCTGCCTGTCTCTTCTCACCCAAATTGGACCCCCGCTACTCCTACTCTGCCACGTGCCTTCTTGGACATGTCACAAAAATGAGATGCTTGTGTAGAGTCTTAGAAAAGACATGCACTTTAAATAAAAGTGGGTTTTATTTTTATTCACTGTGCTCTATCATAAATCTCATTTCAGAAGAGGCAACTGATATGTGAATTGTCTGTGCATTTTGTTTTAGATGGTGTTACTGAGAAGGCAACTAAGGACTTGGCTCCAAAATAAACACATTCTGGAGATGCTGTGTTTTGTCGGGTGGGGAATGTCTGATGAACTGCAACGTCAATGCAGTAAGTGTGGTAAAAGCGGCAGTTTCTGGTGAGTCATTACTCAGCATCATGGAGCCCACAATGAAGAGAATCTCTGCAATCTCTGCAATCAACAAGTTTTGAAAGGCTTTTGTTTATAGTGGATCCCTCTTTTTCCCCCAGAAGATCCACTACAAGGAAAAATGCTATCATTATAAGGAATATGGGAAAGTTTTCAGCCACATGGCCTTATTTGACATGAAAGAATCCACGTAAGAGACTGCATAAATGTGATAACTGAGGAGGCCTTTGTTCAGCAAGGAAACCTTATACAACCTTGATTGACAAATGTAGGAAGACCTTCACCCAGAAGCAAGGACTGACTATGCACCAGACAATCTGCACCATAAACGTGATGAATGTGGAAATGATTTCCATTGTGTACCAGCTTTCTTCAGCATTGGAGCATTCACACTAAAAGGAAACCCTGCCAGGGTTAGAGTATGGAAAAGTCTTCAGAGGTTGAAACTTGGGAAAAATCAGTGAATTAATATTAGAGAGGCTCTTATAAATGAGAAGATTGTGGGAAGTTATATGGACAAAGATCATACCTCAACAAGGGAGTTTCCACAGTTTTGAAAAGTTAATATAATTAATATAAGTGGGCAAGTTGTATGGGAAATGAGTATTCTAAAATGCTCATTTTAGCCAGTAAAAACATTGAGTGTCTTCGGTCAAGTAAAGGAAATGTTAGAAATATTTTTCTTTTCCAGAGGGGTCTATATAAGTATAAGCAACCAGGACTTTTGAAATAAGTTGCATCTCTGGATTTGTGATCTGTCTCCTGGATGATTATCTCAGCTTTGGGGGAGAGGTCTTTTTTTTCATGCCTGCTCTAGTCTCATATCTTTAATTCATTCAGCAAATGTACCCAGTAGTATTATTGTCTATTGTTTACTGTAAATACATGTATTTTCTTTACGGGCTGAGCAGCCTTGTATTAGTACCCTGGGACACAAAAATCACATATATAATGTTTCAGCAAATGTAGTAAAAAGAATTATATTATTGAATTGCTGAGTATTTCTGTAAATCTGAAACTGCCTTTATATTCTCCAATACAAGACCATGTAGGTATCCCATCAGAGTATATTTTTCCAGGTTTGGCTTTTTAATTTTATTTTATTTATTTTGAGATGGAGTCTTGCTCTTGTTGCCCAGGCTAGAGTGCAATGGCACTATCTCAGCTCACTGCAACCTTCGCCTCCTGGGTTCAAGCAATTCTGCCTCAGCCTCCTAAGTAGCTGGGATTACAGGTGCCCACCATCATGCCCTACTAATTTTTGTATTTTTAGTAGAAATAGGGTTTCATCATGTTGGCCAGGCTGGTCTTGAACTCCTGACCCCATGATCCGCCTGCCTCAGCCTCCCAGAGTGCTGGAATTACAAGCGTGAGCCACCGCACTCAGCTATTTTTTTAAGATAGAAAAATATACTTCACATATAGTCTATTGACAGATAATTACTGATATTTTTTCTTATAGATAACACATAATACACACTGTCAAGGCTAATACATTAACTTGCTCATTTTCCGTTCTAAAACCTATAGGCAAAAATATGAAAGAATCTTTAGAAGCTGTCAATAAGTTGGTAGTGTAGCCCAATCTCTACCCATGATGAGAGAATGCAGCTTATATATTTTATAATAGGGCACTAAATTCAGGAACCATGTATTTAAAAACTTTATAGTGATTATCTCAGAATTCTAGGTTTCTCTGTACATCCCTAAATTTTTCGCATAGGTTTCATTAATACTTTCATTATTTTTAAAGATGGACTGCATTCTGCAAAAGGCTTTTCTAGTATCTGCAAATCACACAACTTTTTTCTTTATTATATAAAATGATTTCCTAATATTGAGCCAACCTTGCATTCCTAGAACAAACCTCAGCCATGGCATGTTATTTTCTTAATGTGTTAATGGGTTTACTTGTTAATATTTTACTTAGTATGTTTTCTTCAATATTCATGTGAAATTAGTCCATAATTTTTATACTATAATTTTCAGGTTTAGATTTTTACTCTTTACTTGCATCATAAATATACTTTAAGTCTGTGTTCATTTTTAATGCTCTAGAACAATTTATTAAGCATTTTTACAGACAGGGCCTTGCTCTAGACTGGAGTCCAATGGTGCAGTCATAGCACACTGCAGCCTTGAACTCTGGTCTCAAGGAATCCTTCCATTGTAGTCTTCCAACTAGCTGGGACTACAGGCATGTACCACCACATAGAGGTAATTTGTTTGTCTATTTGTTTTTTGTAGAGACAGGATCTCTTTGTTGTTCAGGCTGGTCCTAAACTCTTATCCTCAAGCGATTCTCCTGCCTCAGGCTTCCAAAGTGCTGCAATTACAGGCATGAGCCACCATATCTGGCTTCCTTATGACTTTTTAAACAGCTTTATTGAAGGAAATTGATATGTAATGAACTGCATACGTATACAGCTTGTTAAGTTCTAACATGTTTACACCAGTGAAACAATCACTACCATCAATATGTCACCCAAAAAAGTTTCCTCATGTCCCTTGATAATTTCTCCCACCCTTACCTGCATTCTTCCCTGCTCTCCAAGCAACCTCTATATTCAGCCTTCTGTTGCTAAGGTGTAATGAATGAATTTAGTTAAAAGGTTAGCTAATTAAGCCATTATTACTTAATACTTTAATCTTGGGTGTTTTACAGTTAATCCAATGATGAAAAATTGGCAGGGAAGGCCCTCCTGGATCTCCTTGAAGGGAAGTACCTAGACCACCCAGAATTTTTGTAGATTCCTCTGAAAAGGATGACAAGCTGTCTCCACCCATGCTCCCATTCAGATCATTCTTTCTTTTATATTTATAAAATATAAGTTATTTAATATCGCTAACTTACTTTCCTGTTTCTTGTTAACTAGAAAAGCATAACTAGCAGTTATACTTTATTTATTTATTTATTTTTTTATACGGAGTTTCGCTCTTGTTACCCAGGCTGGAGTGCAATGGCGCGATCTCGGCTCACCACAACCCCGTCTCCTGGGTTCAGGCAATTCTCCTGCCTCAGCCTCCTGAGTAGCTGGGATTACAGGCACGCGCCACCATGCCCAGCTAATTTTTTGTATTTTTGGTAGAGACGGGGTTTCACCATGTTGACCAGGATGGCCTCAATCTCTCGACCTCGTGATCCACCTGCCTCGGCCTCCCAAAGTGCTGGGATTACAGGCTTGAGCCGCTGCGCCCGGCCCAGTTATACTTTAAATGGGGAGAGGTAGAAAGCTTCATTCCTCATCAGAGGAAGTTATCTCATGACAGCTTCCATGGTAGGTAGGGAGGTATGTGGGAAATGGCCTTGTATCAGCTCCTCACAAAACCTACTGTGCACTCATGTTCCAGATCAGCGAGTGTTAAACCCTGGTCTATGTGGCTCATATGAAGATATGCAAGTTGCCAGGCAGCCATGGTGCAGTCATTCTCCTAAATGAAGAGCTATTAAGTCTGTTAAGTCTCACCAAAGTGAGAAAGAAACGTATAAAATGCCTTAGAAGACAGAAGCTTGTTTAGGTCTTTTGTTCTTCAGGGGCAGAAATAATGTCTTGTTCATCTTTGATTCTTTAGCACCTGACCTGACATAATCAGGTCTGTTGAATGAATGGTTATAAACACATAATTTCTTTAGAACGGTAATATAGTTGTTTATCTCTTGTCCCTCAGCCTGCCTCATACCAGCCGTTCCGCATCCTGATCTATAAGTGGAGTAGGGAGGCTACAACATCATTTCCCAGGCTCCTACTGCCATTTGGAAGAACTTAACAAAAGTGGGCAGCACAGGTTAAATGCTTTTTTTTTTTTTTTTTTTTTTTGAGACGGAGTTTCACTCTTGTTACCCAGGCTGGAGTGCAATGGCGTGATCTCGGCTCACCGCAACCTCCGCCTCCTGGGTTCAGGCAATTCTCCTGCCTCAGCCTCCTGAGTAGCTGGGATTACAGGCACGCGCCACCATACCTAGCTAATTTTATGTATTTTTGGTAGAGACGGGGTTTCACCATGTTGACCAGGATGGTCTCGATCTCTTGACCTTGTGAGCCACCCGCCTCGGCCTCCCAAAGTGCTGGGATTACAGGCTTGAGCCACCGTTCCGGCCAGGTTAAATGTTTTAATGCTTTACTGAAATTGTAATACTCTACTGTAGTTTTAATGTTGAAACTATAGTCTTGTGATGGCCAATTTTATCTGTCAACTTGACTCGGCCACAGGGTCCCCAGATATTTGGTCAAACATTATTCTGAGTGTTTGATTTTGGATGCGATCAATCATTACCTCAGTAGACCAGGTGAACCAGATTCCCTTCCCTAATGAGGGTGGCCCTCATCTGATTAGTTGAAGGAAGGAAGAAAACAAAAATGAAGATGCTACCTCAAGGGGTACGCCTCCTGACCATCTTGAGCTGGGACATCAGTCTTTTCTGGCCTTCAGACTCAAACTAGAACACTGACTTCTGGGTCTTGAATCTGCTGGCCTTTTGACTGCTCACTCCATTGGCTCTGCTACATCTCTAGTTTGCAGATCGGAGAAGCTGGGACTTCTCAGCCTCGATAATCATATGAACCAATTCCTTCCAATATATAAAAATATATACACAAACATATATATTATGTATAATATACATAAATCGATATAAATACAAATATATATTTATACACATACATACATATATAGACACAGACCCTATTGGTTCTGTTTCTCTAGAGAATCCTAATATATATTCAGAAAGTTTAGAAATCATCCAATGCATTTTTCTCAATTTAAGAATCCACTCAAACGAAGTAACCATATGCTTTACTACTATAATACAAATAATTTACATTAGGATTTGTTAGATTTGTGTCCCATAGATCCCTGAGAACCTTGAAGGATCAAGCCTTGAAAACTGGCACAAAAACAGGGACTTGGGTAGTTCTATAAAGGATTTTGGATGATGATTCAATTTCTACTAAACAAAACACATAGAGCAGGAGATAATATATCACAAGGCCAAACCATTAACTATAAAAGGTGACCAGAAAAATCTTTGAATTCCAGAGTCTTTAACTGATATAAATATGGAAGAGATTGCTGGTGCCAGACACCAAGTGAGAAATGTGAGTAGATGCAATAATGAAAGCATGTTTCTACAATAAGGAGAAGTGATAGTAACAAAAAAGGAACTGTCATCCCACAGTTGTCACACACGTAAGGCTTCTCTTCCCAGTGTGGGTTCTCCGGTGTTTGATAAGGCCTGAGCAGCAACTGAAGGTCTTGCTGCATTGTTCATTTTGCTAGTGTGCTTCTTATTGTAGGAATAAGGTGAAGCACTAACACAAAAGTTTGCAGCAGGACAGTCATTCCGAAATACTTTTGTAGAAACAACACCACTGAATGTATACATAATAAATAATAATTGTATAATGCTGACTAAAACTTTTCTCATTTCAATTCACAAGACTAAAATTTTGACTGTCATGATGGGAAAAAAAAGATGGTCTACGCAGTGTGTTTAACAAAAAGTAGATAGCCTGAGGAGTTAAATTAATGGTTAAAATAGTCATCATGAAAAACTGAGATGATATTACCACAGAGGTGATTTAGGAATCAATGTATAAGAAGACCAAGATAGTCAGACATTAATAAAGGGGTTCTGAAACTATAAGTGGTACTTGTTTTAAATATTTGGTGTGAATCCACTGACCTGAGAAAGTATGGACTTAGCAGGAATCAGTTTTACACAGTTGACAGTGTGTGTTCGGTGGTAGGCAGGATAGTGTCTATTGTTTTAGGAGACATTGGTTAGGCCCGAGAGAACTAAGGGAACTAAGATACTGAGCATTAGAATATTTATCATTTTATTCTGACTTGATGATAGATTTTCACACTGACTGAATAGGAAAGTGTTTTCCTTAAACAGTAGCAACAGGGAAACATTAAAGAATGAAATTTGCTGGGCCTGCTCTGGCTGCTCAGCTGACCTCTCCATTTACCTTCTGATACCTGGACATCCCTGCCCTGTTCAGCCCCATAGCTCCCAACTGTTTGGTTTCTGTTCCATGGTTGGGCCTTTGACAGCTACTTTGAATAAACCAGCCACCCTCCCCTCCAACCCCACACACACAAAAAAAGAAAAAAAGAATGAAATTTGGGCTGGGTATGGTGGCTCACACCTGTAATTCTAGTACTTTGAGAGGGTGAGGCAGGAGGATTGCCCAGGATTTTGAGACCAGCCTGGGCAACATAGTGAGACCCCATATTTAAAAAAAAAAAAAAAGCAATTCCATGGAAGGTACACATTCATAATGATTTAGTGATAAGCTATTTAAGGCATTTGTACCAGAACAGAATTCCTAGTCTGGTAAAGAAATATCCCCGTGGCTCACGTGTGTAATCCCAGCACTTTGGGAAGCCGAGGCAGGTAAAGCATGAGGTCAGGAGATCGAGACCATCCTGGCTAACGCAGTGAAACTCCATCTCTACTAAAAATACAGAAGAACTAGTCAGGCATGGTGGCACACACCTGTAGTCCCACCTACTCTGGAGGTTGAGGCAAGAGAATCACTTGAACCCAGGAGGCGGAGGTTGCAGTGAGCCAAGATTGTGCCACTGCACTCCAGCCTGGGTAACAGAGGGAGACACAGTCTCAAAGAAAGAAAGAAAGAAAGAAAAACAAATAGAGATTCTTTCTATCACAGAAACCCTGCCATTACCTCTGCTCTGCCTATGTACTTGGCAAAAAAATGCACTAGATTGAGTTACAATTTGGGTCAGAGAATTAGACACAAGCGCAAATGGCCTTGGTGAGTGCTTTAGAAGCCTGGATAACATCAAATTTTCAGAGATATTAAGGTAATCTCACTGGTACATTCAACAAACATTTATTAGCACCTGCAGAAAAGGCACAGAGGGGGATATAAGACTGAATCTGACCAACTGTGGAGGATTCATTAGCATCAAAGAGAATGGTCAGAGAAGCAGCCCCCAACTCACAACCATCCACCCAGTAGACATCACAAAGTACTGGATTAGGGCAAGCAGCCAGTCTAAACATCCCATTAATTCCAATGGGAGAGAACAACCCATCTCAGGTCTTACCTCTTCTAGACAACTTTTCCACAGTCTCCCATCAAGCATGTTTTGATTCCAAACACCTTCTAGAATTTAGAAGATAATTCATCTAACCCAGTCTGTATTTTCTAACACCTGATAATGTTTAGCGGTAAATGAAGCCCAGTCCACAAATTCTATAATCCAGACTCCAGTTCTATAATCCAGACTTCAGATCGGTCACAAATGAGCACCAACTCACGTCGACGGCATGGTCACTGTGATAGGATGTTTCTCCCTGCGTGGCTTCTCTGATGTTGAGCAAGGTATGAGATTCGGGTGAAGCCTTTTCCACATGCGTTACACTGATAGGGTTTCTCACCAGTGTGGATTTTTTGATGTTCAATGAGGCCTGAATTCTGAGTGAAACTTCTTTCACACTCATTACATTTGTAAGACATGGGAGTTTCAACATTTTCCAACTGGCTTTCCATCCTACTTTTCCAGGCGTCTCCCTGCTCAGGTTCCTGAACATTTTTATCCCCAGTATGAATCCTCTGATGTCTCAGGAGATGTGAACTTCGCCTAAAGGCTTTGCCACACATGTTACACTGATACGGCTTCTCCCCAGTGTGGATTCTGTGATGTTCAAGGAGGCTGCAGCTCTGGCTAAAGGTCTTCCCACAGTCATCACACTCGTAGGGCTTCTCCCCAGTGTGGGTTCTCTGGTGTTTGATAAGGTCTGAGCTGTGACTGAAAGCCTTGCCACATTCTTCACACTCGTATGGCTTCTCCCCAGTGTGGACTCTCTGATGAATGACGAGGGCAGAGCTCCCAATGAAGGCTTTGCCACACTCCTCACATTCATAGGGTTTCTCGCCAGTGTGGATTCTCCTGTGTTTACTCAGGCCTGAACTTTGAGCAAAACTCTTTCCACATTCATGACAGATGTGCCGCCTCCCTCCTGTGGCATTTTTCTGCTTTCTTTGTAACCTGCCCTCCTGTTCACCAGCTTGTGCACATGTAGGAATCTGGGCAATGTCTTCAATCAGGTAGCATGATATCTTTCCATGCTCCTTTTCTGGAAGCTCCTCAGCTGGAGGCAAGTCCCTGCTCTTACTCTGTATTTCACCACCTGCAACAACAAATGGCCAGCAACTGTGGGTTACACCCTGCCATGGGAGGAAAGCTCTGTGATGACTGCCAGGGAGGCAAGAAGGACAGAGGTCTACAAATGCCTGGGATGAGGATTTAAGTGCTAGAATAAGGATGGGAACAAAAGGGAAGAACAGAGTCCTGGAGAGGAGGGAGACCTGAGAATGGGAATGGACCACTGGAAGCGTACAAACTGAGGGTGAAAGGAGTGGATGGAAGATGGTGAGGATCCAGGACTATGCTAGGGATGCATGTGGTCGTTCTAAGCTCTATGAATGGTAAGGCAGGGCCATGCACCTACGATTAGATACTAAAAGGGTTGAACAGAAAGTGACAGTAAATGGGGCAAGTGAAAGGATCTCTGAAATGTCTTTGAGAAACAGCAATTGGGAAGCTGAAGCTGACAGATCACTTGAGGTCAGGAGTTCAAGACAAGCCTGACCAACATGGTGAAACCATGTCTCTACTAAAAATACAAAAATTAGCCAGGCATTGTGGCAGGTGCCTATAATCCCAGTTACTTGGGAGGCTGAGGCAGGAGAATCGCTTGAACATGGGAGGCAGAGGTTGTAGTGAGCCAAGATCACGCCACTGCACTCCAGCCTGGTTGACAGAGTGAGACTCCATCTCAAAAAACAAAAACAAATGAAACAGCAAAAGTGGAGACTCAGAAACTGGGCACCGATCAATGGTACAATATAGACAGTTTTCTGTGCTCATATCCCAGGCGGAGGCAAGGTCCCCAAACAGAACTGGATTCAGTGCTAGGAGATCTGTGCCACCAATGAGCTATGTGGCCTCAGAAAAGTCAGGCAATCTTCTCAGCCTCTGCACCCTCATCTCTGAGGTCAGCATCTATAGTCAATGTCTAAAGACCCTTGTAACTCTCACACTCTATGGTCCCAAGGCCCATTTCCTGAAGAGAACCCCCAGGTTTCCTCTTCAGTCAGGGATAGGAACAGAAGGACATCAACATTTACTGGGCATCTCCTATGAGCCAGACCTATACTTGGGGTTGTGTCGACTTCAGCCCATTTAACTTAACTAGAATACTGATAGGGAGGGGAGAAAGCAAGGTCAGAAGGGGTGAGCAGGCTGGGTGCAGGGGCTCAAGCCTATAATCTCAGCATTCTGGGAGGCGAAGGCAGGAGGATTGCTTGAGCCCTGGAGTTTGAGACCAGCCTAGGCAACATAGCAAAAGTCTATCTCTACAAAAAATTTAAAAAAAACTAACCAAGTGTGGTGGTCCATGACTGCAGTCCCAGCTGTTTGGGAGGCTGTGGTGGGAGGATCACTTTAGCCCAAAAGGTCGAGGCTGCAGTGAGCCATGATTGTGCCATTGCACTCTATCCTGAGTGAGAAAGCAAGACCCTATCTCTCAAAAATAAAAAATAAAAAAGTAAGGAGCTGGTTAGTAACAGGCTTTCAGAAATGGTGATTGTGAATTCAAACATAATACAGCTCAACAGCTTCCAACAGCTCAACAGATTCTAATACACAAAGAATGCCAAGAAACCTTAAGAGGAATTAGTGTCCTTCGGTCTTACCCAGGGAGACCAGGCTGCCATGGTTCTCCTGCTTTTCATCTCTACAGAGATTCACCTGAGATGAATCCTGCTGTGTCCATTCAGGGGTGAGAGTCAGGGCCACATCTTCCACTTTCAGCAACCCCTAAAACAATAGGTAATCCCACTGAAGAAAGGGCTGACCAAAATGAGGGAGCAGGTAAGATCTGGGAAGCACCCCCAGCCCCTATGCCTGCCAACAGCCAGTAATAAAACAGGAAAAGCCTCTTATGTGGGCACCTAAATGAAGTTAATGATAAACAACTTCAAGATAGATGAGAAAATGCAAATCACATCTGAGATCTGTATGGAGGATCCAGCCTGGGGATAGAGAGAAATGGGGAGGGAGGAGTCCTCACAGGAAGCTCAACAGCAGTGAACAGCATTGGGGGAGGGACAGGGGCTCCAGCTCACCTGGGACTCTGGAGTAACCCCAGAAGCTACCACTGCATCTCCTCTGCAGTACCCTCCATGGGCAAACACAGGGACCTGGAGAACTAAGAAGGAAAGAAGCTCTGGATGAGATGTACCCTGGCATTCAGCCTCCCTGCCTTGTGTAATCTAAGTTAAATATGTGGATTAACAGATTCCTGTCTCACTTGATTGGGCCCTGGAGTCTGAAGCTGCAATGAGCTATGATTGTGCCACTGTACTCCAGCCTGGGCAACAAAGCAAGACCCTGCCTCTCCAAATAAACAAATTCCTGCCAAACAAGTTTATATAGAGTATGCTCCTTTCCAAAATTCCCGGTCCCTACCAGCTCCAATCCTATGGCTAAAGATATCTGTTGTGCTCTATAAATATATGAAAACAATGCAAAAAGGCAGAATCCTTGTTAGCAGTGGTGAAATAAAAAGAACACGAAAATAAAACAGAAAAGCTTTCAATTTGAAGATCCTTTGAATTTTGCTAGAGATAGGAAGAAAAACTGGATTTTCAGTGAGTATGTCCTTAGTGACCGTTAGGGTGCTTTTCACTTTGGATTTGAAAAATTAAGAGGAGTCAGACAAAGCTGGGCTATGAAAGGCAGAAATAAGGGTCTGACTTTTACAACTTGCTAAAATTCAAGAGAGAGAAAAGTAAAGGACTATAGGTTTCCTTATTATTCCTTACATAACTTCAAGAAGCAAATTTTGATCCTGACCAACTTGGTGAAACCCCATCTCTACTAAAAATACAAAAATTAGCTGGGCATAGTGGTGTGTGCCTATAGTCCCAGCTACTCGGGAGGCTGAGGCAGGAGAATCGTTTGAACCTGGGAGGTGAAGACTGCAGTGAGATCATGCAACTGCACTCCAGCCTGGCGTCAGAGCAAGACTCCATCTCAAAAAAAAAAAAAAAGAAAGAAAAGAAAAGAAAAGAAAATCCTTACCTCTGTCTTGCAAGAGTTGGGATCTCAAAGATTCATGCTTGAACAGAGCCTTCATTAGCTGAGCTTGGCTACTTTGTGACTCTGGGGATGCTGGCAACAGTGCCATCTTGCAACAGGGAAGCTCTTGCCCCTGGTCAATGCCTGGAACCTAGAAATCATTTATTCTTATTTTCATTTATTCATCAAACACTTCCACAGAACCATCTATGTGACTGGCACTGTTTCCAAGAGTATTATAAATGTTAACTAATTTAACGCAGCAAAGAACAATCTTACAAGGGAGGTACTATTGTAATACCCATTTTACTGACAGGGAAATTAAGGCACAGCCAGTTTGAGTAGCTAATAAGTGGCAATAGTAGGATGGGAGCTCAGGTAGAATGATGCCAGAGCACATGTTCTTACCATTACTCTATGCTCCTTCATATATACATTTGTGGTTTTATGAAAATCCTTTGGAAACTGATGCAAAATTCTCAGAGAATGTTAATACCTTTTATTGTCTGAAAGGGGGATGACAATCTCTAGTTTATGGAGTTTGGGGGACCCAAATAAGATCACAGCATGTGAACTCACCTAATACGGCCTGACATATGATATGTCCTCAGTAAATGCAGGTTTCCTTCCAGATATTTATAATACTATACAATTATAGTTTTCAAGTTACTTTCTCACGTGCAGCTCAGAATTTCCCACATCCTTTATAAAGAATGAAGCTAAGAGACTTGCAATGACTTCCCACTGATACAGGGCTCGGGTGCAATAGACCCAAGAACCTTGGTATCCAGCTCTCCAGTTAGAAGGCTCTGACCACACAGGTCCTCTGAGAGGTGTGCACAGGGGCACATGACGATGCAAAGAAGAAACCATCTCATAAAACAGGGAAGATGGAGGTAGAAATCGGCCCACGTCATACCAGAGGTTCATAACCAGTGGTCCATGGATTTGGTCCCAAGTGGTCCATGAACTTAGATGGGATAAAAACTCATCTTATTTTTTACTGGTCTTCAAGAGAGAGTTAGCATTTCCTTCAGTTATGAATGGAAGCAACAAGTCAAGGTAGCATAAGAAGCACCCAGGTCTTTGTCACCAATAGAACCTGCACATGTTTTCGCATCACATTACAACCAGGCAAATAGGTACCACTGCTTTTTAGTTGCCAGTTATAAGGCCTGTCCCTAGGTCACATTATTTAGTACAGTAATAAAAAACACATATATGACCTGAATACAAATTTAATACTGTGCTAACTGTATGTATGACTGCATCCTTTGGAATCCTTTATAGTTTATGTATTTCTAATTCTGAGAGGGAGTCCAGGGACTTCACCTTACTGCCAAGGAGGTTCACGGTACAAAAAGAGATGGAGAACTCCCGGATCTTAAGGGGATGCCCCTCACTCCGATCTTGAGATGTCAGGAGGAAACGGACCACAGCGCTGAGATACTAAACCTGTTCTTTCTACCTGCGGCGCCGGCTCATCCCGCCGCCTCTCCAAATACTCCAGCAGCAGCACCACCTCCTCCCCGCTCTCTGGATGCCGCTCCCGCACCCAGCTCTGCACGCTCCCCGGCAGGATGGTCAGGAACTGCTCCAGCACCAGCAGCTCCACGATCTGCTCCTTGCTGTGCATCTCGGGCTGCAGCCACTGTCGGCAGAGCTCTCGGAGGCGGCTCAGCGCCTGGCGGGGGCGCGCAGCCTCCGGGAAGCGGAAGCCGCGGAAGCGCTGGCGCGAGCGCTCGGAACCCAGATCCGCGCTACTGGGAAAACCGGCCTCTTCTTCCTCCACCTTTATGACCAGAAGCTCCGTCTGGTCTTCTGTAGACTGGGCGTCCAGGGCCGCTCTTTCACTAAATTCTCTAGCCATCCTGGGCCAAGGCAGTCCTCAGGCCTCACTCCAGCTTCCAGGGCTATTTCTGCAGATCCCTGGAAGGTGGGAAGTCATTATTAACCAGTAAACTTGCAAGTTGTTCCCTCTCTCCTGCTCAGGAGCCCAGAGACCTCTCTGAGGAACTGCTGCAGACATTTCTCCATGTTCAATGCTTCCGCAGCTCAATCCTCTACAGCACCCACGCCTGAATCCCACAGTAAGGTTCCCAAAGGATGTCCTGGGGTGATCCCAGATACTCCCAGGCCCCTGACTAATCAGGAAAGAACATGAAAGTGGTGAGGATGCAGGGGTCTTCCTGGACTCTCTTGGCAGCCCCTCTCAGCAAAACTGCCCAGAGTTAATCCAGAGTTAACAATCAGGTCTGGGTTGTCCAAATTCTAAGATGACCCTAATTTCCTGCCCCAATCCTCAGGACTTTGAAAATGAGATAGCAGGCCGGGCGCAGTGGCTCAAGCCTGTAATCCCAGCACTTTGGGAGGCCGAGGCAGGTGGATCACAAGGTCGAGAGATCGAGACCAACCTGGTCAACATGGTGAAACCCCGTCTCTACTAAAAATACAAAAAAATAGCTGGGCATGGTGGTGCGTGCCTGTAATCCCAGCTACTCAGGAGGCTGAGGCAGGAGAATTGCCTGAACCCAGGAGGCGGAGGTTGCGGTGAGCCGAGATCGCGCCATTGCACTCCAGCCTGGGTAACAAGAGCAAAACTCCGTCTAAAAAAAAAGAAAATGAGATAGCAAGTCCAGACTGACTGGAGTGATCCTAAGGAGCTGAATTTTACTGACAATCCCAATGGCCTTATAAACAGATTCCTCTCAGAGCTTCCAGATAAGACTGCAGCCCTACCAACACCTTGGCATTGGCCTGGGAAGACCCTAATACTGAACCTGGCTGAGCCTGCCTGGCCTTCTGACCTATAGAACTGGAACAAATAAACTGTTTTTGTTTGTTTGTTTGTTTTTTGTTTTTTTTTTTTTTTGCTTGTTTTGAGATAGAATCTCACTCTCTTGCCCAGGCTGGAGTGTGGCGGCATGATCTTCTTGGCTCACTGCAACCTCCACCTCCCATGTTTAAGAGATTCTCCTGTCTCAGCCTCCTAAGTCGGTGAGATTATAGGCATGCACCACCATGCCCAGCCAATTTTTGTATTTTTAGTAAAGATGGGGTTTTGCCATGTTGGCCAGGCTGATCTTGAACTCCTGACCTCAAAAGATCTGCCTCAGCCTCCCAAAGTGCTGGGATTAAAGGGATGAGCACTGCACCCAGCCCAGATTTTGTTTTAAGCTGATAAATTTGAGGCAAATGTTATACAGCAACAGAAAACTAACACAGTTGATTCTATATCTGCAGGTTCTACATCCAGACATTCAACCAGCTGGAAAATATCTGGGGGGAAAAAAATAACAAAAACAACAATTAAAAAAAAACACACAAAAATACGAAATAACAAGTATTTACAAAGCATTTCTATTATATTTGGTTTACGAGTAATCTAGAGATAACTTAACTGTACAAGAGAAGCTGAGCCTGGGGCACACTACTGCAGTCCCAGCTACTCAGGAGGAGGAGGGAGGACCACCTGAGCCCAGGAGTTCAAGGATGCAGTAAGCTATGATTGTGCTACTGTACTCCAGCCTGGGCAATGGTGTGGAGACCCCATCACTTAAAAAAATATGCGGAAGGATGTGTGTATGTTGTAGGCAAATACTATATACCATTTTATGTAAGACTTGAGCATCCAAAAATTTTATATCAGTGGGGATCCTGGAATCAATCCCCCACAGATAGTGAAGGATAGCTGTATCAAGTCTTATCTGTGGTCAATGTACTGCAGTAAGGGGAAGAAGAAAGAAAAGACAGAAGGCCCTGGACCAAAAGAAATAGGACTGAATTAACAAACCTTGGCTGCCTGCTAGTGAGACCCTTAGTTATATGTGATGTGAGCCTTGTCCAAAAAACTGGCCTAATGTTCATATTAAAAGTCAGCTGAAAGTCGGGTTTCTCCAGACTCTTCCGATCTCTGGGCTGGAGGCCCTTTAGTTTCTCTCAGAAACATCGAGAAGGCAGAAAACATCACCAAGCCCTTGCCCTGGAGAGAGCACAGGCGGCCCCTGGTCTTTGCCGCCTCCTCAATCTGCCAATCTCTTTCTTCCCCTTCAAGACCAGACTTCTTGAAAGAAAGCCCTCAGTCCCTGATTCTAGTCCTCACCTCCCACTAAGCCTTCCACACATTGTAGGCTGCAAACTGCCAACATCACTAAGATTCTGCCTGCAGAGGTAACCAAAGGTGCTTCCCTCGATTCCCATTTTCCATGGCCTCTTCTCAGGCAACTGGGCTGAAGATACTGTCTGCTTCCAGAAACTCACTCGTCCTTGATTCCTCCTTCCTGGTTCTTCTCAGCTCCCATCACAATCTGGTTACTGTTCTGAAGCCAGGTCTCCTGAGGTCATTATAATCCTAGCTTTACCACCTACTAGCTCAGTGCCTCCCTTTTTTAATCTGTAATAGGGATAGTGATAGCAAATAGGGCCACTGTAAGCATTAAGTCAGTGACTGTATAAAGTTCTTAGAACAGTGCCTGGTGTTGTGGCTGTAAGGAATATGGCTGTGTTGCAGCCAGGCAGGCATAGGTCAAGGTCAATATCCTGCATGACTCAGCAGGACAGGAGGGCAGGCACACAATTTCATGCATTCTATAGTCACAGCTATGTAGCCATAACATGGGAGGCTCATCACCTGGCTCCGAGCCACTATTGTTTGTGAGGTGTACAAATGCAGCACTGACACTGTGAAAGAGCTGCTGAATAAAGCCATATTCCATCTACCTACTGTCTCTTGAGTGTTCTTCCAGCTCCCTGCCCCAAATCCACCCACTCCCCTTGGACCTCAGCTGGGGCTTGACCCTGACATTTGGTATAGTGCGCAGGATGAGGTGAGCAGGTCTTCAGCCCCCAGGCTCCCGGGCAAGCTATGCAGCCGCAGCATGAGCTGTGGAACCCAACGGCAGCAGTGCTGTGAGGATGGGCTCTGGTGGAAACATGGGCCACAGTGGATAGGTCCTCCACGAGCGTGGAGAAGATGCTGAAGCACCTAGAAGTGCACAGCACCGAGAAGGAGAGTACCCATGCCAGCAGAGTCAGATGGGCATTTGTGACAAGTGCCTGACCAGTCCTTGCTGGACACAGCACAGGGAGGAGGAAGAACCTCCATTATAAGCTCACCCAGTGGTCTGCCAGACAACAGAGCACAAACAGCCACTGGGTCCCAAGGGTGGGCCCAGGGACTCCCAACCATGGGGAAGCACCATCATATAGTGCTTGTACCCCCACTGAGTTGCGGGAGTTAGGCAAGCAGCGTCAGCAGCATCTGGGAGGAGCCCCTCTCTGCCTGAATTCTCTCTCTCTGGGAATAAAGAGCTGACCTATTTCCTGTTCAGCCTCTGAGATGGAAGAGTAGGTTTCTTTAATTACAGTGTGGACTGATGCCTATGAATTACCGGAAACTGTCAGTAGATGGCATCTGTATACAGACTTAGTGAAAGTCATCGGGGAAAAGGACATTGCTGCATGACCAGAGTGTTCCAGCTCAAAGATTACCTGCTGCAGTCAGGCAGAAACGTAAAGCCTTTCCTGGTTTGACTGGGCACTGGCCAAGGTGCCCAGCTTGCGGGGGACATCGGATAACCAAAGGCTGTATGTATGTGGACTGGGCAATCCTCCGGTCCCTAAAACCGAGTAAGTTTCCAGGCAGAGCTACATTTACTGATGGTTATGAAAGCTGATCGGTGAAAGTGAAACCTGGATCTTTGCACCTTGGCATCAGCTGCTTGGCTCCCCACCTGTGCACCGTGTATGCCTCTCCATGCCTGAGGACATTCTGGAGATGGATGGTTTGCACAAGTCTATCATAGATTTGATAGACCACTTGACAACAGAACTGGGATGGTGCCACTGTGTGGTGTGCTTGACCAATGCATTCCCCTTAACTGTCATCACTCCAGAGAGCCAGTTTGCCTTCATGGGAGGAAGACAATGGATATTCTTGGTGTTACTGCAGGGCTATATGCATAGCCCCATTATATGTCATGGTCTTATTAATGACGTTATATTAATCTCTGATTCTCTTGCAGATTTAGAAGCAGCAATGCCCTTCTTGCCTGGGATTGGGAAGATGCAGCTGAAACCACCTTCCTGGCAGCTAAACAGGTTTTTCAACAGGCACAAGCCCTCCAGTAGCTGATCAGGAACACCCATTTAAACGTGATGTGCATGTGACTATAGAGAGTTTTGACTGGGGCTTCTGGCAGTGCACAAAGCACTTTAGAATGCCAGTAGGCTTTTGGTCCCAACTTTGCAAGGGAGCTGAGCACTGGTATTCCTTGACAGAGAAGCAGTTACTAACTGCATAGGCTGCCCTTTAGGCTCCGGGCAGCATGGCAGGACGGGCTACAGTTGTCATGCGCATGACTCACCCAACAGCAGGGTGCGTACACTCATGGTTAACAACCCGCACACTGGGACGGCACAGACATCCACTTTTGCAAAGTGGGGTGCCCACTTGGAACAGTGAAGTATGCTAAGTCAAGTCCCTTAGCAGCACAATTACAAGAAGTCTTAGGACCTACAGTCCTGATACAAGGTAAGGCCATGGGGCCTGAGGCACCCCTAGACCCTGAGCCTTCACTGTTTAAGGAAGGGCATCCCCGCATTCCCAATAGGATGTGGTACACAGGTAGGTCTAGCTGGGGTGTTGCAGTCCAGCCTAGTACTGACGCCTTATGATTTGATAACAGGTGTGGACAAAGTAGCTCATGAGCTGAACTCAGGGCAGTGTGAATGGTGATCACTAAGAAGGTGACATCTATGGTAATCTGCACCAATAGCTGGGCAGTTTATCAGGCTTAACCTTGTAGTTAACTACCTAGAAGTTACAGAACTGGCTAGTCACTGACCCACGTAAGGCCAGGCCACGTGGCCAGACCTAAGGGAGAAAGGATGACTTCCTCTGAGCAGGTATGGGGACAGACAGTAACCTGTTGTTGCCTGCCCCAACCCCCCTAAAGGTAGGGAAACAAAAAACTGGCTTGATATATAAAGCAACATTGGTGTAACATCATCATGAGGTAGTTGCCCACCATAACCTGAAATGATTGCTTCTTGTATTACTCCTGTGGCCCGAGTGCCCAGAGCTTATGTGTCAGGCTTATGTGTCAAGCCTGTGTTTATGTATCAGCCCTGGGTGCCCAAAGCTTGTATGTCAGGCCTGTGTGCCAAAAACCTATGTCTCCCTTGGCCTGGGGGTGGAGTGTAAGGTAAATGGATGTGCTTTGGTCAAGAACAGGGTGAGGCAGATATCCAGCCCAGCATGACTCATCAAGTTTGGAACGCAGGCGCAGCACTCCACTTGTTATATAACCTGTTTGTGTAAGCTCATACCTGGCTCGGAGCCACTATTGTCTGTAAAAGGTATAACTGCCCTGCTGACGCTGTACATAGGGCTCGTGTCCAGAGACAGAGAGAGAAATTGCCAACCATGGAAGGGAGAACTGGCTGTCTTGCAGACAGACGGGGGTGAGCTAGGAACTAACAAGCTTGCCACAGAGTACAGCTGTGAGTGTGGGAGCAGCAGGAGCCCCAGAGCCAGTTGCTGAGAAGGGCTGCAGCCTCAGAGGAGGCAGCCCAGACAAATGCAGACAATGTGAGAGAGCTGCAGCTGCTGCTGCTGAAGAAACTCACATTTCACCTGCCTGCAGACCCCTGGAGTGTTCTTTCTGCTATCTTCCACCCATCCACCAGCTCTCCATGGACCTCAGCATGGGCTGGGACCTGACAAATGGTACGACAGTGGTAAGTACCATATATATGTGGGCTAATAGTATCATTAACTGGTCTTTCTTCTTTTAAATAAGAGTAGGCCTGGTGATTCTGTTCTTGACCTTTTCTCTCTCCACAATCTTCTCCAGTACTCTCTTTAATCACTTGCAAGGTTTAACTTCTATTTCTAGGCTGTAGCCTCCTGACCCCTATCCTGAGCTGCCTCCCATACAGTCCTATATGGAAACTGTGCAAAGAAATCCAATTCAATATGCCCCAAACCAAACTGATTTTCTTGCTTCCTAATACACTCCTTCCTCAGTATGGTATTCTCTACAAACAATAGCACCAGCCACCAGGCACCCTCAGTCATCACTGTGTAATGAATTATTTTTATACTTTAGGAGGGAAAAGTAAGATATTCTGGAAGAGAGCCTATCCCAGAAGCCATGAGACCTGGGCCTGCACTAAGAGGGAAGGGAAACCTGAGATTCCTATGAACCATCTGGACTAGATTTTAAACTAGAAGTGAGTGACTGCAAAACTATTTGACTGGACTCAGGTGTCAGCAGGTTCCTCCTTACTTGGTGGAATGGAGAGGCTACAAAATGTAAGGCTAGGCCGGGCACAGTGCTCACGCCTGTAATAAAAGCACTTTGGGAGGCCGAGACGGGTGGACCAAGAGGTCATAAGATTGAGACCATCCTGCTCAAAATGATGAAACCCCATCTTTACTAAAATAACAAAAATTAGCTGAGCATGGTGGTGCATGCCTGTAGTCCCAGCTACCCGGGAGGCTGAAGCAGAATTGCTTGAACCCAAGAGGCAGAGGTTGCACTTAGCCAAGATCGGGTCACCGCACTCCAGCCTGGCGACAGATCGAGATTCCGTCTCCAGATAAATGGATGGATGAATGGATGGATGGATGGATAGATAGATAGATAGAAATTGTAAGGCTGGTAGAGATAGTAGAGGTTACAAAGGGAAAAACAAAATTGCAGGTCTGTATCTTCCTGAGTCTCTATTCCTCAGTCCAACTCTCTACAGTTCAAAGGACGGCAGGGAATAGAAGGAAATTAGGAAACCGAGAGAACCCACTGATTGTTACAAAAGAAAAGTACCAGAAAATAATTCCTCCTAATAAGCTGCCACAAGAGATCTGGGGTACTGCTACACAAGCTAATAATACCAAAATAAGTGAGCCTGAATATAATCCAGTCTTTAGATCCAAATACCAGTGTACAGGCGAAATACAGAAGAAAATTACATTAAAGGCTTTCAAACTTTGTTACATATTAGAATCACTGGGGAGCTTTAAGAACATCCTAATGCCTTGCATACAATCAAGATCAGTAAGGCCATGGTAGTGGCTCACCCTGTAATCCCTGCACTTTGGGAGGCCGAGGTGGGTGGATCACCTGGGGCGAGGAGTTTGAGACCAGCCTGCCAATAAGGTGAAACCCTATCTCTACTGAAAATACAAAAATTAGCTGGGCATGGTGGTGCACACCCAGTTACTTGGGAGGCTGTGGCACAATAATTGCTTGAGCCTGGGAGGTGGAGATTGCAATGAAAAAAAAAATCAATTAAATCACTCTCTGGGGGTGGGACTCAGCATCAATAAATTTTAAAACTTTCTAGGTGATTCTAATGTGCAGCTGAGTTTGAGAACTAATTAGTTAAACATACTAAAAAGAAGCAATCAACCAAATCCAGAATGTGAGGTATTTTATAAAACAGATGGCTCACGTTCTTCAACAAATAAATGACATTTTTACCAAAAGGAGTGGGAGGGAATGGGAACTGTCACAGATTAGGAGATTGAACAGACTTATCAAACACAGGCAAATGGTGAACCATATTCGGACCCTGCTGGAAAAAAAACACTGCAAAAAGACTGTTAAAAACTGTAAAAATGTTTGAGACAATTATTTGAAAAAAACAATATAATGATATCAAGGAATTACTGTCAATTTCGTTGCATGTGATAATGATAATAGGGTTGTATTAAAAGTCCCAATATATAAGAAATTAACACGGAAGGACTTGCACCTGTGAGTGAACTAAAATGTTTCCATCTGCAATTTGTTATAAAATGAAAGAGAAGGAGAGATGGAATGAAGACAAAAAAAGAGAGAAAAGGGAGAGAGGGAGGGAGGGAAAGGAAGACAAAAGGAGGGACAGGGAAAGAAAGGAGGGAAGGAAAGGAGGAGGAAGCAAAACGGAAGGAGGGAGGTGGGAGGGTGGAGGAAAAGGGAAGGAAAGGAGGGAAAAGATGAAAGCAAATGACCAAACGATGAGGGCTGAAGCCGAGTCATGGGTATATTGATATTCATTGTAATATTCTCTCTACAGTTAAATGTGTTTAAATTTCTCCCCCGAATTGTAGAAAATTAAAGTCCTCCCTTCTTTCCTTCCTGAAAATACAGTCAGTAAGCATTAAGGTAGGGTCAAGGAAAGTGAGAGAGAGCCATAGCCCAACTCAGAGTGAATCTGGAGCCCAAGTGGAATGGGGAGGCTGTCCACGGGGCGGGGAGAGGAGAAAGTCTATGGCAGGGAAACAACACTGATACATTTTATCATTGATTCCACAGACTCCATTTAGGCTTCACTACCTAGCCCCTATTTGGATCTGAGCCAAACTGATCACAGTTGGGAGGCACAAGACTGGGAAATCTGTTGCAAACATGAAGTATTTATCAAATCAGTAAATATACTATAGATCAAGAAAACAAAGTTTCTCATTATCAGAAAAGAGTTACAAGTCTAGAAAAGAGAGTTCCCCCTGTAAAAGTTGGGTTGAAATGAAAGGTGTTAGTATGAAGCCAGTTTCAGGCTAGGACGCTCCTGAAAGCTCAGAAACTGGTAGATCTCCAGCACTAAGCAGGACATCAGATTTCTGCTAAAACCAGGGTTCCTAGTCCTTTTTCACTGTTAAAAACTTCTATTGTTCTTCCTAATCTCCAGCCAAGAAAACAGTACCCCTGAGTCTTAAAGCCTTTGGGACTTTGAGTATCACCATGTATAACACAAACCCGTTTTGGTCTTTGCTTTGCAATAGGCTCTTTTTCAGAGTATCTTATTTTTACTCCTAAAATAGAGAAATCATCCAATACAAAGTGAACTGATGAATGACACTAAAATTCAAAGCAACGGTAAAAGAAGTTAGTCACTAAAGATAATGCGTCATCATAGGTATAAATAAAAATAGTAGCATTAATAAAAGCAAATACTTTAAATCATTCTTACTCGGCACCTTACACTTATTAATGCACTCAATCCTCACAACAACCCAGTGAGTTGGGTAATATTATCCCCATTTTACAAAATAGTAAAATGAGGCAGAGAGAGGTTAGGGACTAGTAAAAAGTCACACAGCCAATAAGTGGCAGAGGCAGGATTCGAACCAGGTAATCTGACTCCAACGTTCTGGCTCTTGGCCAGAACCACAGAATAATTTAAAGACCCTGAAACTGGCCTTGTCACCAGGCAGTGCAAAAACGTAACGGCTCCCATTTTCAAGGCTTGCCTATGTGACCGATGCATCCCGTCTCCAACACACCCTGAGGAACAGACCGAGACACCCAGTACCGGCTCTAAACGAGGGACACCAATGGTGGGCTCTACGCGGGACGCGGAGCACCGCTTTGTCCCGCCGCAGGCGTCTCCCTCCTCAGGGGCCGAGGCTGCAGGAACCGGGGAGGGAAGGGCCTTCCTCCTCAAACTCACACACACACCTGCAAACGCACCTCTACCCGGGACAAAAGAATGGCAGGACCCACAGGAGGAGGGCCCCAGAATGACACTTCACCCCACACTGGAAAGCGGACGCCCAGCCGACGTCCCCTACTCACCCCACACTGTACTCACAAAGTGCCCGAAACTAGCAAACCCCCCGCAGAGCTGGGCGCAGAAGCCACTTCCGGGCCGCTCTAGCCTCGGCCCTGGCCGACTCTGTGGTTTGAGAGCTCCGCACCTCGTGTCCCCTCCCCTTTTGCTATTAAAGAGTCTCTAAAATTTTTATTTTACCAGCTATACCAAAGGGAGAAAGGCAAAGTGCAGAACTCTTTCCATAGTTTGCTGTATTTGCGAATAGAAGAGGGTAAAAAGAATCTAAGTTATGTTTGCGTGTGTGGCACAAAGAAGCCCTGGAAACATCAATTGGAAGATTAATAATGGTGATTACCTGTTTGAGGTGAAGGGTAAGAAACTGAGTGAGAAGGACAAGAGTGAGAGGGCAAGTGTTATAGTGGATGTTTTAAATGTGCTTTTAATTTTAGAGTTGACTGCATTACCTAATTAAAATATTAATTCTAAATACTTTTAAGGAGCATGCTGCGAGGTTTACATAGAAAGTCCAAGATAATCTAACACTCAAATTATATTAATTAATAAGAGTTTGCCAAGGTTGCTGAACTTTTTGAAATTCATATTCACAATCACATTTTCCATCAAAATTATAAAAGCATAATTTTTAAAAGATAGTTTATTACAGAAGCAAAAAAATGCAAAACATACCTGAATGGAAACATTAGAAACTTTATTCATTAAGGATAAGCAGTTGAAATATATGCCATATCCATATATATGAGAACTCAGTATCATAAAGATATCATTCCTTCCTAAATTAATACACAAATTCAGCACAAAGCAAATCAAGATTCCAACTGTGCTCAGTGGAACTTGACTAGTTGATTTTGAATTTATATGGAATAATGAAAGAGTGATGAATCCAAGACATTTTTTAAACAAATGAAGGAGCTGCAGAAACTTGCCCTATATAATTTATTATAAATTTATAGGACCTAAGACAAAATAGTATTGGCACAACCATAGACAGACCAATGAAAGAGAATTGAGGACTGAGCAACAAACATGTATGTTGGCTGCTTGATATGACAGAAACTGCACACAAATCAGTGAAGAATAAAGGAGCTACTCGATAAATAGTACTGTGATATTTGGACAGCTAAATGGGAAAATAAAATAAAATTGGGTTTCTTTAGAGAGTGGGACGTCCGACTTCTGAGTGG